AATTTTGCTTTCATTGATTGAAATGTGATGTGTTTCAGTCTGTTGTATTTTCCATTCCTATCAGTGTTTATATTGTCTCATTTTTGTCTGTGAAATCCTGTTTAGGTTGGCTCCTGAGTTCTTTGATGTGACCTAATACAGTCTTTGATAGCTGCTTTGTTTCCAGGTATGACAATATATGCTAGGCTCAACTTGCTATGTCCTGGCATTTCTACAAGGGTCCTGACTCCTTTTAATGAAAGTGCAATTTAAATACCATAACCTAGCTGCTACAGGTGCTCACTGTAAATTGCATAAATTAGTTTTTATTTTGTTTTTAATACATCATGAGTGATACCTAATAGTGATGTGGAGGATCCCAGTTCTCAACAACACTTGGAATAATGGGATTAGAATATTCCTGTGTTGCTGCTGAGAAGTATAATGATAATCCAATTTTCTTTTATAAAGTCACTTGATTTTTCACATAGCTATTCAAAGGATTTTTTTTTCCTTTAAAGTCCAGCCCTGGCTAGTGTAGCTCAGTAGATTTTGAGCACTGGCCTGCGAACCAAAGAGTTGCCAGTTCAATTCCCAGTCAGCACATGCCTGGGTTGCTTGCCAGGTCCCCAGTAGGGGACACACAAGAGGCAACCACACATTGATGTTTCTCTCCTTCTTTTTCTCCCGTCCTTCCCCTCTGTCTAAAAATAAATAAATAAAATTTTAAAAAATAAAGTCCAAAAAGTTTATCAGATTAAGTCTTAGAGTAGGTATTTTGGGTTTAGGAGTTGATATTCTTAGGTACCTTTTGCACTATGTAGTTAATTTTTTTAGGGAAGTTTTCTAAATATAGGTTTCAAAATTTTTTATTCATTTATTTATTGTATTGTTTCCATTACCACTTATCCCCGTTGTACCCTCCCCACCCCCCCACCCCCCAATCACCAACCACACTGTTGTCCATGTCCATGAGTCCTTTGTTTTGATTTTTTTCTCAGGGACTTCTGTTAGCCATCCTCATATATCTTTGTCTTCATTATTTGTCATTTTTTCTCTTGAATCCTTTTTATCTCTTTATTGATTTATATTTTAACAGATTTTATTTGTTTATTTTAGAGAAAGGGGAAGGGAAGGAGAAAGAGGAAGAGATACGTTTATCAGCTGCCTCTCGCACACCCCCTACCGGGGACTTGGCCCACAACCCAGGCGTGTGCCCTGATGGGGAATGGAACCAGTGACCTGTTGGCTCCCAGTGCGGCGCTCAATCCACTGAGCCACACCAGCCAGGGCTATTCGTTTACTTTTAAGACTTGTTGAAATATAGTTTATGTACCATACGATTCACTCACTGTAAGTGTACAAATCCATGAATTTTAGTAAATTTATAGTTCTGCAGTCATCACTACGGCTTAGTTTTATAGTATTTCCACACTCAAGAAAGGTCTCTCATGCTGTTAGCAGTCAGTCCCACTTTCATCCACAATTTCCAGGCAACCACTCATCTGCTTTTCATTTCTATAGATCTGTCTTTTCTGAAATTTCCTCTAAATTAAAGAATATAATTTGTGGTCTTTTGTGTCTGGCTTTTTTACTTGGCTGAATGTTTTTGAGGTTCATTCATGTTGTAGTATGTATCAGTATTTCATTCCTTTTTATGACTGAATAATAGTCTATTGTATGTATAGGTCACATCTTATTTATCCATCCCTCAGTTGATGGACGTTTGGATTGCTTTTGCTCTTTTCCTGTTATGATAATGCTGCTTAGCTCTAAATATTTGCACATCTTTTTTGGATATTTTTTTCCTCTTGGGTGGATATCTAAGAATGGAGATGCTGTGTTGTATGATAAGCTTATGTGTAACTTTTCAAGAAACTGCCAAATGATTTTCCAAATTGGCCAGACCATTTTACATTCCTCTTAGCAATATATGAGCTTCAAGTTTTCCCACATCCTCGCCAACCCCTGTTACTGTCAGTACCTTTGATTACAGCTCTTCTAGTGAGTGATAGCTCGTGGTTTTAATTTGCATTTCCCTAAGAACTCAATATATTTTTTTAAATTTTTACTTATTTATTTTTAGAGAGAGGACAGGGAGGGAAAAAGAGAGGGAGAGAAACACCATCTATCAGTTGCCTCTTGCGTGAGCTCTGACCAGGGACTGGACCTGCAGCCTGGGCACATGCCCTGACTGGGAATCAAACTGATGCCCAACTAACTGCGCCACACTGGGCAGGGCAGGTCTCATGATCTTGAGCATCTTTTTGTGTGCTTATAAGCCATTTGTATATTTTCTTTGATAAATAACTGTTTAAATTTCTATTTTCTTAGTCTGTGTCTTTTAGTTTTACGACTGGTATCTTTCGAAGTGCAAAACTTACAAATGTTGATGAAATCCAGTTTATACTTGGAAATATAAATGTATCTTCTTTTTGAAGAGTTTCATTCTCTGTAACATCCATGTGTGAATTGTCCTACTTACTTTTTATGATTTTTAGGTCTACTTGCTCAACTTGTTTTTTCTAAGGAGTCTGCACAGCTGTTGGAATGGATGGGTAGATCTATGCTATGTGTAATAGTCTAGATACTGGCTAGAATAATATCTAAAATGTCACCACTGATGATCTTTCCACTCAGGAAACATGGCTGTTGACTTTTGAGAGCAGGATTTTTAAAAAATATATTTTATTGATTATGCTATTACAGTTGTCCCATTTTTTTCTCTCCTTTACTCCCCTCTGCCCTATAATTCCCCTCCGCCCTGTACTGCCCCCTCCCACCAGCATTCCTCCACCTTAGTTCATGTCCATGGATTGTATGAATACGTTCTTTCGCTTCTCCATTTCCCATATTGTTGTTAACTATCCCCTATTTTGTACCTACCGTTTATGCTTCTTATTCCCTGTACCTTTTCCTCCATCAACTCCCCTCCCCCTTCCCACTGATAACCCTCCATGTGATCTCCGTTTCTATTCCTGTTCTAGTTGTTTGCTGGGTTTGTTTTGTTTTTGGTTCAGTTGTTGATAGTTGTGAGTTTGTTGTCATTTTACTATTTATAGTTTTGATCATCTTTTTCTTAGATAAGTCTTTTTAACATTTGATACAATAAGGGCTTGGTGATGATGAACTCCTTAACTTGACTGTATCTGGGAAGCACTTTACCTGCCCTTTCAGTATAAATGATAGCTTTGCTGGATAGAGTAATCTTGGATGTAGGTACTTGCCTTTCATGACTTGGAATACTTCTTTCCAGCCCCTTCTTGCTTGTAAGGTTTCTTTTGAGAAATCAGCTGACAGTCTTGTGGAAACTCCTTTGTAGGGAACTGTCTCCTTTTCCCTTGCTTTTAAGAGTCTCTCTTTATCTTTAACCTTGGGTAATGTAATTATGATGTGCCTTGGTGTGTGCTTCCTTGGGTCCAACTTCTTTGGGACTCTCTGAGCTTCCTGGACTTCCTGGAAGTCTATTTCCTTTGTCAGATTGGAGTTCTTCATTATTTTTTCAGATAAGTTTTCAATTTCTTGCTTTTCATCTTCTCCTTCTGGCACCCCTATGAATCAGATATTGGAACATTTAAAGTTGTCCCAGAGGTTCCTAAGCCTCTCCTCATTTTTTTTTTTCATTCTTGTTTCTTCATTCTGTTTTAGTTGAATGTTGGTTTCCTCCTTCTGCTCCAAACCATTGATTTGAGTTCCAGTTTCCTTCCCTTCACTTTTGGTTCCCTGTACATTTTCCTTTATTTAATTTTGCATAACCTTCACTTCTTTCTCTATTTTGCAACCATACTCAACGAATTTTGTGAGCATCCTAATTACCAGTGTCTTGAACTCTGCATCTGATAGGTTGGCTATCTCCTCGTCGCTTAGTTCTATTTTGGAGCTTTGATCTGTTCTTTCATTTGGGCCATATTTTTGTCTCAGCACACCTGCTATATAGTAAGTGGCGAAACCTTAGATATATGTCAGGGCAGGTCAACCCATGTTGTTGCTTTGTGGCACTGTGTGGGGGGAGGGGTCTGAGAGGGAACAGTGTCACTTGCTCTGCTCTTGACTGGTTTTCAGTCACTTTCCTCACTACTTGCCTGCAAATTGGGTCCTTCTGGTGCTGATTCCTGGGTGGGTGGGTTTGTGCACGTTCCAGAATTCTATGGGTCTCTCCAACGGACTCTCCTGTGAGGCTGGGAGTCTCTCTATCTGCTGCAGCCCCTACTGTTTTCCACAGTCATAGGCCTTGAGGCTTTATTTCTCCTTGCTGGAACCCTGGGTTGCACGGTCTGTCTTGCTCACCAGTTGGTCCTCGCAGTTTATCCACATGCAAATGTGAGACCACCCGGTTCACCAGCCACCACCTTGCCTGCCTAGCTCCTCCAGCTGCAGCCTTGCTGCAAGTCCTCTCCACCCTGGCTACTCATGTCTGCCCCTTCTACTGGTCTGAACGAATGTTTCTTCAACTGCTTGGTTGTCAGACTTCCATACAATTTGATTTTCTGGCAGTTCTGGGGTTTTCTGGTTTGTTTTAAATTTTTGTCCTTCTTTTGGTTGTGTAAGGAGGCAAAGTGTATCTATCTATGCCTCCATCTTGGCCAGAAGTCAAGAGCAGGATTTTATTCTATGACTCATGGTCCCAGGTGCTATTGGCACCTTCTCTTAGGATACCACCTTTTCTCTGGAGCTGTTGGTGGCCTTTTTTAAAAAAAATATTTATTGATTTTTGGAGAGAGAGGCTGAGACAGAGAGAAACATTGATTTGGTGTTCCACTTATTGATGCTTTCATTGGTGAGTGTTTCCTGACTGGGGATCGAACCCACAACCTTTTAATACCAGTATGACACTCTAACCAACTGAGCTATCTGGCCAGGGCTTGGTGGTGGCCTTTGGATCAGAGGAAGCAGTGGCTCTTAATTTCAGCACGGCACCTTGCAATTAGGCTGCTTCTCTGAATGTGGTGAAAGGTCAAGTGCTTGATACACCCCCAATTTTGTAAAGGTTTGGGTAACATATTCTCACTTGGCAATTGCAGGTGAAGGACTTAACGAAATACTTGGATCCCAGTGGGCTCGGCGTGATCAGTTTTGAAGACTTCTGCCGAGGAATCACAGCCATCAGAAATGGAGGTCAGTCTTTCCCACTCTGTGCTTCTGTTGCCTCCCCCCTTCCTCACTCCACCACTGTCCTTCCCTCTCGCTCAGCCACTCCCGATCAGTGACCCTTTCTCCTCAGACTCCTTGTGCTGAGCTTAACCTCTTCCCTTCTCTGAAGCCCCTAAAATGCCCCAGGTTTCAGGATGCTCTCTCTTGTTTCTTATTCTTTGCTCCTTACACACCCTGTCTTCCAGAATCGACTAACTCAACTACTTGTCCATAATGTTAGAAAACTACTACCATTTTCCCCAAGGAGTTTTTAATGGAAACTTTGAAACATACGAAAGATGCACACAGTGCACACCCGTTATGTATCATATCCGTCATATGTATTCTGCAGACAGTGTTTATTGTGTCTGCATTATCCATCCATCTTCCCACCTGTCCAACAGTCTGTTCTCCTTTTTTCTGATGGGATGCACTTCAAATCAGTGCACGTCCATACGCTTCAGCCTGAACACCACCACATGTATATCAGTCATTACCTAGAGTCTGTATTTGTTTGTAGTCTTTTTTTTAACGGGAAATTTTTTCAAAAGATTTTATTTATTTGTTTTTAGAGAAGGGAAGGAAGGAGAAAGAGTGGAAGAGAAACATCAGTGTGTGGTTGCCTCTCACGCTCCCCTTACTGGGGGCCTGGCCTCATAACACAGGCATGTGCCCTGACTGGGAATCGAACTGCTGACTCTTTGGTTGGCAGGCTAACATTCAATCCACTGAGCCACACCAGCTAGGGCTGTTTGCAGTCTTTTTTGAGTAACAATATACCTACAGTGAAACCTTAAGTGTACCATTGTGTGAATTTTGACAAAGCCTTATGTCTGATAATACAAATTGCTATCAAGAGTTATTGGCATTACCACAGACAGTTACCCTCATGGCCTTACAGTAATCCTTCCTTTCTACTGGTACCTTCTTCTTCTTTTTTTTTTTTTTTATTATATTTATTTCTAGAGGGAGGGGGAAGGAGAGGGAGAGAGAAACATTGATGTGCGAGAGATACATAATTGTTTGCTTCTCGCTTGCCTCCAACTGGGCACCTGGCCGTCAACCCAGGCATGTGCCCTGAGTAGGACTTGAACTGGTGACCTTTCAGTTTGCAGGCCAACACTCAACCCACTGAGCCACACCTACCAAGGCCCTACTGGTGCCTTTGCTGATTTTTGTCACCATAGATTTGTTTTGCAAGTCATGGACTTCATGTAAATAAGATCATCAGTAGCTGCTCTTTTTTCTGGCTTTTGCCTGAATGTGATATTTTTGAGATTTATCCTTGTTGTTTTAAGTATCAGGAGCCTGTTTTTCTGTTATGGAGTAGTGCTCCATTGTATGCTTGTACCCCAGAGGTGGACACTAGTTTGGGGCTAGGATATTCTCAGTTTGGGACGATATATAAAGCTTCAAGTGACATTTGTGTGCCAATCTATGTAGACACAGTTTGCATGTCATTGGGGCCTGTACGTGGCAGTGGGGTGACTGGTCACATGCACGTGAGTTTAGTTTCTTACAAAACTGCCAGGTGTTCTTCCAAGTGGTTGTACCATTTCACTCTCTGACCGGTTGCCCATACACTGTCCTCTTCAAATGAAACTCTGAAGCTCCGAGTAGACCTTTCCTTCTCATTCTCTGTCTTCAGCCAGGTGGTGTGGGGGTGACGCTACTGGGAAGTCACTAGTTGCAGGCCTTTTCCCTCCTTCCTGCACCTTGTTGGAGAACGAGGGACATAAAGAGACTCAGCAGGACCCACTCTCATCCTGGTGGCTCAATCAAGGGGGTGCCCTTGGGTCCCAGGTCTTATTAGCAGTTGTTGATGGAGTCTCACCTGTCTTGTCTGTCATCTCCCCAGCAGTGGCATGTTTGACCTGGGTTTCCTAAAATACCCAGATGGCTTTGGGTAGCATTCTGTGTGTGTGGAGCCCTGTGTGTTACTGCTTGTTCTTTCACCCAGTCAGTGCACATGTGGGAACACCAGCACTGCCCAGAGACCCTGTGGTGAACCCAAGGCCAGGGTCTTTGGGCGTACAGAGCACACAGTGAGGGAGGGAACAACAGGGTGCTGCTGCTGTCATTGTGACAGGTTGGGGTTGGGGCCAAGGTGTACAACCTTACCCACAGGGGATGATGGCATCACTGTGTTCCCAGGGACTGAAAACCAAAGGGACCATGAGAAGCTCTGGGCCTTGGACATGACCCTTGTGGTCTCTGCACCTTTCAACCAGGGGTTGAGACTGGGCTTCCTGGGATTCAGGTGGCTGAAGATCCCAGATTCCTTTCAAGTGTCAAGCTAGGAGCAGCCGTGGCAACTGGGCCCCTGGGTGTGGGCCAGAAGGAACCCAGGGCAGTGGCCAGTGAGAGATGGTGCTGGGGCCATCTATGTGGCTCTGAGGCCCTCTCTAGGAAAAGTCCAGGTTGGTTCTTTTGGGCCACAGTTAGTGTGAAATGGAGCAAGCTCTTCTGCAGGAGTTCCTGGGGGGTTGTGTCCTGAAAGTCAGCACATGCTCCCAGGAAACTTGTGACTCAGGCAGATGCAACCCAGTCCACGGTAATAAATTCTCCAGCCATTGACCTGCCTGGTGTGGGAGAGGAGCTGTTTCTGCAGCGGCTGATTCTCTGTCTGTCAAGCAGGAGGGATTGCTGGCTCAGATGACCTGTGTGCTCATGTTGTAGGTTGCATATGTCTTGTAGTTTAGCAACTTAAGGTGTGCTTAGATATTTATCAATCCAGTGAGAGCAAAGGGTTGCCTGAGAATGACCTGTCTCCTTCAGTCCCAAGCTTTCCTCAATGGTTAACCATCTACCCTGATGCTCTAAGACGGGCCTCTGCCTGCACTCCCCAGCCCTCCACCCTCTTCCTTGCCTTTACCAGGGATGTTCTCTCTCGGGTACTCTCTGTCCTTCCCAGGGGCTGGCAGAAAGGAGCCAAAGGCAAGGCCCTGGGAGGGATTTTGGGTTCTCTGTCTCTGCCTGGAGGAGTTGGCCAGGGCTCTTGGGTCCCCACCCAGAGCTCTCTGCAGCCCACTCTCCCATTTGAATCTCTTCCTGGCTCACCTGGCCTGGTACACCTGGTCTGTCCCCATCCCCGAGGCACCCAGTTCACTGTAGCTGCTCCTCCTTCTGTATGGGGGAGCAGGGGGAGCAGCCCCCTGCTACTGTGAGCCCCCCAATCAGTTCACTTCGGGGAAGTCCTGCCTCTGGCCAGCCCCCACACACCACTGAGCCCCACTAGGGTTGTTTGAATCTCTTTGTCTTTTCATTCTTTTTGGTAATATTTCTACTTTGATTTAATTAACGCCGCCCCCCCCCCTGCCGCCTGCTCCCCCGCCAGTCCTGGAGTTAGCATGGATTCTTCAGGAAATGGTGCTTGTTTTTTCAATGGCAAGTTCTGGAATAGAAGCATCCTCAGAAGGCGAGGCCAGGTCTCAACATGATACCACATTGTGGGGTGCATTGTAGGTGGTGTCCCCCACCCCGACCTGAGTTTAGCCTGTGCAGAGCAGACCCCTGCTCCTGAAGTGAGGGAATGGACCTTGGACCCTGGGGGATAGGCTACTGCTGGGGTTTGTGGTTGATGGGGCAGAGAGATTGGGGGCCTTGGACAGGGCTGGTGAGGGGGTTGGCCTTCCAGCAGATGGGGCCAGGTCCTTGAGTGGGTGTGCTGAGGGGAGGCTTTAGTGGTGAGATCTTGAGTCAGGCTGGATGGAGGGCAGCAGCCAAGGGAGGGCACAGTGAGACTTGTAAGAACCATGGGCACGGACACTGTGGAGCTGGACTGTTCCAGCCAGACTGTCTTAGACTCTGGGAAGCACACAGTCCCCTGCCCTTGGGAGCTGGTGTCCACCCACTGGAGGACACCCACAAACAGTGAGGCAGTATAGCTACAAGCAGTGACAGGAGCTCAGGAGGAGGGTGAAGCCAGAGGTGGTCAGTAGAGGCCTCCTTGAGAAAGTTTGGGAAGGGGTAACAGGGTGCAGGTGGGGGGCCTGAGGGGAGCATGCCCTGCACGTATGGGAACCGAAGAGGTGTCAGTGTGGCTGGTTTGGGCAACCAGGATGAGAAGGTATGGGCATGGCAGGGCTGTGGCCACTGTGGGAGGACTTGACCTTCTCGCCAAGAGGCCTCACAGTTCAACTCCAGCCCCAGGCTCCCTCTGGAAGGGCCGTAGAGTGGCTCCTTGGCTCAGTGCCAGAAGGGCAGGACTGTCTCTTGGAGTGCGTGGCTTGGCTGAGGCAGTGCTGGTGGAGACACCCCATCCCGTGCACTCGGTGTACCGCTGGTCCAGCTTAAGGCTGTGGGGTTGGCTTTACCTTTTTGGTTATTTGCAAATTTTTTTGTAATTTGACTTGTCTTTAAGATTTAAAAATTAGTGTATTTTTAGAGAGGAAAAGGGAGGGAGAAAGAGAGAAACATTGACATGTGAGAGAAACATCGATCAGTTGCCTCTCGCATACCCCCACCCTGGGACTAGCCCACAATCCTGGCAATCGACCTTTCACTTTGCAAGGTGATGCCCAACCAACTGAGCCACAAGAGTCAGGACTGTAATTTGACTTTATCATTTAGCTTTTGTTTGGAAAGGAGAGTGAAAATAAAACTAGGGGAAAAGCAAGTCAAAGATGATTTTGAAATGTTATTTAACAGCATTAGGAATAGTGAAAAGCATGATTATTTGAACTGAATTTCAGGTCAAGTTCAGTTTGGAGCTTTCCTCCAGTGTACCATCATAGCTGCACACAGCTGTCTGGTCTGTCAGACTTTTATTCTGCATCCAGGAGTGGCATAGCAAGTGACTTGACGTATTGACCCACTTTGCAGGAAGAGTGCAAGAGATTGCTACCATCATAACCACAGGCCTTATTTCAGGAATAGAATGAGATAGGGAATTGTTACAAATAGGCCATTGCTCTAGCTCCCCCCCCTCCCCAGGCTGTGGAAGAATGAGATAAATGCACATTAAAAATTTCCACTGTTTTAGTTTTTATAGAGAAAATTGATAGAAGAGTCCTATTTAGTCCCATCAAGAATATAAAAATACCAGATAGACGTTCACATCTTCCTCTTTGCCATGTGAGGCCAGACTTCTGGATCATATGCCCACCACTGGAATCTGAGCACATGTCTGCATGTCTGCAGTGATTGGCTAAGTTTTAAGAGTTTAAAATTCTGTTTCAGTTTTTGGAAGTGCAAGCAAGGCTGTTCACACTTAGAGGAGAAAAATAGCCCGGGTTGGTGTGGCTCAGTGGGTTGAGCACTGGCCTGCGAACTGAAAGTTTGCTGGTTCAATTCCCCGTCAGGGCACATGTCTGGTATAGGCCAGGTTCCCTGCTGGGGGTATGTGATCCAAGTATCTCTCCCTCTCTTTCTCCCACTCTTCCCCTCTCTCTAGAAATGACTAAATAAAATATTTTTATAAAAAGGGGGGAAATAGGCTAAAGATAGTCTAGCTTTTTACAAAATGTGTGTGTGTGATCTCAAATTGCAGTGGGATAATGATCCTCCTTCACTTCCTATCCCAGAAACTAAAAAACTTCTGTCCGTAGCAATCTTCTCCCCCTTCAAAAAGAGCTTATGTTGCTCTGCTGTAGTTCACCTGCACCAAAGACCCGAACCTCCAGAGCAGGGGTTCCAAGGCTGTCAGCCCACTTGGTAGGGCGCAAGTGCAGGAGCCAAAGGCCATTGACCCTCTGCATCGAATCCAGGCTGCTGTGCTCTGGGGCTCTTCCACTTAAACTGTAGTCTGAGGCACTCAGGTGTTTAGCCACGCTTCCAGGGAAAATAATACAAAACAATAGCCACATAAGGGATTTTTGGATAAGGGCCTTAATCCCTGCTACAAAGCAGTATTGAATTGGCAGAGGCACTTTATTGAATGCAGTTACTGAATGCATAAATGCTTGAACTTGCATAATGTTGAGGGAAAGTATTGTTGTTTGAATGGAGAGAGCTTTTTAGAAACTGGACAGGGTAGCCATGTGTCCAGCTGTTGCTCTGCGGTAAGGGTCTTTCAACATTCATTCTTCCTTTCCCATTAATTACAATGGCCATCATATTGACTTCAAACCCCCGACCCTTCAGAACCTGGCTGGGGAGCAGGGCAGCATTTTCCCCACATGGTCTATTTGCCGAAGAATATCTTCTGGCCAAGGAAGCCGGTGATGGCCATTTCAGAGTACTCTCTTCCCAGGAGTGTCCAGGGAGGCTTGCTCTTCCATTTAGCCCTCTAAGATTCTACTCCACTTTTTAAATAAGTGACTGATGTTAAGAGTATGTGAAATATATTGAATAAGTGACTGATACATTTTTTTAAGATTTTATTTATTTAGTTTTAGAGAGGGAAGGGAGGGAGAAAGAGAGAGAAACATCAATATGCGGTTGCCGGGGGCCATGGCCTGCAACCCAGGCGTGTGCCCTGACTGGGAATTGAACCTACGATGCTTTGGTTCGCATCCCGCGCTCAATCCACTGAGTTACGCCAGCCAGGGCGCCACTGATACATTTTAAATAAGTACTGTGTGATCTGCTTTCTGCTCACACCTTGTCACCTAGTGTGTGGGTTTTCCTCACAAAGCAATTCTCTAATTCTCTGCAGTTCCCACTTGGGTGTTTTATAATTTAATTCATTCTGATACCAACTGCCCGGGGTTAACACAGGCCCTATTTCAGGTGCCCAGGTTACCCATACTTCCATCTAACACAACTCCTTCCTCAGGTTCAATAATTTTCTGTAATGGCTCATAGAACCCAGGGAAAACCTTAGTTCTATCACCAGTTTATTGTAAAGGTTACAATGAACAGGTATATAGGCAGGCCTGGAAGGGTCCACAACACAGAGGCTTTTGTCCCCGTGGAGTTTGGGGTGCACCACTCTCCCGATGGATGTGTTCATTAACCCAGAAGCTCTCCAGACCTCCTCATTTTGAGTTTTTTATGAAGGTTCCATTATACAGGCCTGATTAGTCATAGGTCATTGGTGATTGGCTCAGTGTCCAGCCTCTCCCTCTCCAAAGAGGTGGGGGTGGAGCTGAAAGTTCCACCTCTAATCAGTCAGTTTCCCTAACCAGCCCCCATTCTCCATTAATTTAAACCCAGGTGAGGTTGAATGGGGCTTGTTGATGAGTAACAACACATACTCCTTAGGAGCTGTGTGTCAGGACTGGGGATGAAGACCAGATAAATATTTCCTATGAAATGACAGCATCACAGTAGTGAGACAACATCATGATTCATGACTCCATCACTTGCATGCTCTTTAGAAAGTGTTATACCTGAACATGGCCAGGACACTGTAGAAGCCAGTGCCTTTTCTTCCTTTCTTTTTTTTTAAGTTTTTATTTATTTACTTTTAGAAAGAGGGGGAGGGAGAGAAACATTGATGTGTGAGAGATACGTCTATCTGTTGCCTCTTGCACGCTCCCAGCTGGGGACCTGGCCTGCAACCCAGGTGTGTGCCCTGACTGGGAATCCAACTTGTGACCCCTTGGTTCTCAGTCTGGCACTCAATCCACTGAGCCACACCAGCCAGGGTACCAGTGCCTTTTCTTTGTGGGCATTGGTCGTGTTTGAGAAAAGTGGTATTTCTACTGCTAACATCAGAATTACAGTCTGTCCATCATGAAAAGATTGCTTTTCCTTTAAACTTTTTCACATTATAAAAATAAACATTTACTGTAGAAGATAAACTTAAGCAAAAAGGAAGAAAATAAAAACTGCCCGTGAGTCCAGCCCTGAGGACAAGGTATTGTTATTTTGGCACTGTTTCGCGCCTCCCCAACATGTACAGTTTTTCAGAAACTCAAGTTTGGTATCTACTACTTTCTAAAGCCGTGAGCAGTGTCACAGAGCTAGTATTGTGCTCCTTCTATTTTACAGTGCTGTCCAAGTCTTTGAAGAAATAGTTACCATTTGGCTTCTACACCACTGCCTGGGAACTCTGGCACGAAGTGTCATTTCGGTGGGAGACCTGCTTCCCTATGTAGCCTTTCTGCCCCCTGCATTCCTCACAGCCGTTCCAGACTCCATAGACCGTTCATGCAGTTTCCCACTCGACCTTTGTGGATGGTCTGGGTCACCTGCTGAGTCTGGGTCTTCTCTCCCACAGATTCTGATGGCCAGCTGTGCAGCATTGTACCTGCCCAGGACGAGGGGTCGCAGGCCTGCCCTGATGAGTTCGAGGACTTCGTTACTTTTGAGGCAAGTGACTTTCATGAGAGAGCTGAGAGGGAATTTGACGTTATACCTCCTCCTCTGTGCACTCTGAAGTCCCACTTCGCTTTGTGGTTCCCTAGGCTGGAAGGGCAGGGCAGGGCTCACTTTGCAGCCCTGTGTGCACTGTGGGGGGTGCTATGGTTGGTGGGCGCAAGGCTTTGGGGGGGTGGCTCGTGGCTGCAGCGCATAGTCGGTGGCTGTCCGCTGTGTTATACACTGGAGACCCTTAGCAGGAGATGCCCCTGGGCCCGTTGTTAGTGGGGTGATAGGCTGAGCAGTTAGGTCTCTCTGGTGATGCTGTCACCTTTTCTCAGGCTGCCAAGCAGGGCTAGAGCAGGGGACTCATCATGAGATTTTAATTTTATCAAATTCCAAACCATTTTCTGGGTCTGCTAGAGACCTTTGACTGATGCCTTGCTTTACTGCACCCCCCACCCCCAGAAAAAGCCAGGGTTGCAATGGTTATATGGTGTTGCCAGTAATGTGGGGTGTTTTTTTCTTTGTCAAGGCTTGGGGAAGGCCTGTGAACACAGCCACAGAAGACAGATTACTGCTTTGTGTTCCACAAGTTGAGGGGGTTGGGCAGCAGATGTTGGGAGAGCAAGGTGCCTGGATCTGGAATTATTTTTTTAAATATATGAGAAATTCCTGAGTCCTTGAAGAACTGTTGGGGAAGGCCATGGTGGCTACCTCCAGCCCCTCAGCACTTTGTTGCCCAGTGAGGGGAGCAGGGTTAGGCTGTGATCCAGTGGGCCTGAGGCCCTGCATGGCAGTCTTCTGAGCCTCAGCTCCTTTGTAAAATGAGGGGGTTGCACAGAATAGTTTCAGAAAGTCCCTCTACATATTAACTCACCACAGGATCCACTGCTTTCCTTCTGTGTCTGTGTCCCTTCTCTGAGAAGCTGCCCCAGGTATTGGTGACCCCTCAGATAATACAGGCTTACTTCCTGACTATCACCTCTGGCAGCACAGGACCCCCCAGGCCACCTGAGCACGTTCACTCTTCACACGTCTGTCCCAAAATACCAGGTGGGCCTGAGCACCACTCCCCGCCAAAGGCAGGAGCCAATCACCTTTTGTCTCCTGTGTTCATTCTGGGTATGACTGGACGTGGCCAGGCTCCGTCCTGGCTTGTGGAGGCTGACTTGTGTTGACTGCAAGGCACAGTTTGGCCAGGTGGGGGACCTCGAGTGTGCGTGACTGATGTATCAGCTTTCAGAGGAACTGCCAGCTCCCGTAACTGTGAAAAGGCTGCTTACATGGCCTGAGTAGGAAGACTCTGTGGTTTGACACATCTTGGAATTTTCCAGGAATGCAGCTAGGTCAGGAAGAAAGCCTTCCTTTTTTGTTGGGAGCATCTGCAGAATTGCCTTCCCAGTAGTACTGCAGGGTCCACGTCTCCCAGTGCATACACTTTATCATCAGTGTCTTTTGTTTTATTCCTCTCATATTTCTATTAGGGCATTGCATCGATTTTTTAAATATTTTATGGGTAGGTGGGTGTAATGGGTTGAATGGTGGTCCCCCAAAAGATACATAACCCAGAACCTGTGAACAAGACTCTATATGGAGAAGGGGTCTTTTCAGATATAATGAAGTTAAGGATCTCAAGATCAGATAGCTCATGCTGAGTGGAGTGTCCTTAGAAGAGAAAGGGAGGGGACACACAGCAGAAAAGTCGGTATGAAGGCTAAGGCAGAGGCTGGAGTGATGCAGTAACAAGCCCAGGGACGCCAGGAGCCTGCAGATGCTGGAAGGGACAGGAAGGAAGAATTTATCCCTGCTGACACTTCGATTTCAGACTTCTGGCCTCCAGAACTAAAAGAATACATTCTTATTCTTTTAAGCTGCCCAGTTTATGGCAATTCAATATAGCAGACACAGGAAACTATTCAGGATAGTAAAAGGCATCAACACATTTTGTATTTAAAGTTCCCATTTGGTCTGAGAGTGAGCCACTGCAGTGGGGCTGCCTCCCCCGGTACCTGGATGGAGCAGGCAGGGGTGCTGTGTGACCGTGGCCCTATTTTGTCCTCTAAATGGGTGGATCCCCCTTAGCCCACATGACTGTGGCCCTCCCACCTCTGTGGTCTTGGCCCTGAGGTTGTGCCAGCCCCTACCTCTTGCCTTTGGAAGGCATGGTGGGAACCTGACGTTTCAAAGAGTACGCAAAAGGAATGCTTTTCAGGCTTTTAGATCCTTTTTTTTTTCCCTCCAAAAGCATTTTGGAGGAAATGCTTTTTATAAGTTTCTTCATTACTGAAAAAAGTAATACTATTTATACTTTAGCAGTTTTAAGTTTGTAGAAAATGGAGCAGGCAGGAAAGAGAGTTCCTGGTACAGGCCCCACACACTAATGGTAAACATCATGAACATCTTGCCTTAGCGTGGTACGTTTGTTACAGCCGATGAGCCAATATTGACGCATTATTATTAACTGGCGTTCACAGTGTACGTGAGGGTTCACTCTTGGTGTGGGGTGCAGTTTGTGGTTTTAGGCAAATGTACAGTGTCAGGTACCCCCCACTGTGGTATCGTACAGAGTAGTGTCACTGCCCTAACAGTGCTCTGCGGCCGCGATTCAGCCCTGCTCCCACTAGGACCCACAACCACTGATCTTCTACTGCCCCCATAGTGTTGCCTTCCTCAGATTGTTGGAATCAGAATGTACAGCCTTTGCTGGCTGGCTTCTTTGGCTTAGTAATACACGTTTAAGGTTTCTCCATGTCATTTTCTGCTTTTTAAGGTTTTTAGATGTAATTTTTGGGGGAGTCGAAACTCAGTACTATGAAACTTATAGAAAGATTGCTCTCTTTTTAAAAAAAATGCTGGTACATTTTAATACTGTTTAAAAGTCCAATAAAAATATGAGTAGAGAATATGTACGCTATATCCAAACCCTACATTTGGAGATCCTCTGCTGGAGATCTTGAGAGATAAATAAGCCTTTTATGGATTTTTCTGGCTGGACATGCGGCAGTGTCGGTCAGGGGGCCTGGCGCAGGGAGCTGCTGGTGGGCTGCTGCTTCTGGTCTTTTCCCAGCGGAGCCGTTCGGTGGGTCCCGGAGCTCCAGCATTTCCCTGAGCATCCCTTTGGCTTGTCGCCTGTAACAGAACTCCTAGGAGAAAGCCACTGATGTGGTGTGTCTAGAAGGGGAAGAGGTGAGGAGGTAACTTAAGGTTTGTTGCTGATGTTCAGAGATGGAAAAGAAAACTCCTGGCCTGAGAACCTGAGTGAGGTAGGGGAGTTAGAGGCCTGCAGGGGGTGTATCAGGATCTTGTGTATCAGGATTTCTGGAAGGGGCGGGAAAGTCACGGGACAGGTGCAAACAGAACTGATAAGAAATGTCCCTGCTGTGTGCCTCCTTGTGCCTCCCCCTTTCTCCCACTTCCAGCATCTAGAGAAAAGAGCTACCTTAATAAAATACCAGGAAAATGTGTCTTTTATGCAGACTGTTATCAGAAAGGTTAGAGCGTCAAGAACAAAAGCCATTCTGTTTTGAGACATGACTGTTTGTTAAAAAGCCAGCAAAAATACTTTTTGAACTTCGACCCCACCCCCCCGTCCTCCACCCCCTCCACTGCCATTCCAGGAGGTTTAACAGAGCGTGTCTGGAAGCAGGTTAAACTTTTTTCACTGGCAGTGATGTACCTTCAGGTGAACACACAGGTTTGGCAGAAACTCCAGCACAACTTGTCAGTTGAGAGTCTGGACGGAAGGCCCTAGAACATCCAATACAATGGGAGGCCGTCTCCGGGAGCATGTCCTGGCTGGAGCTGGTACATGGAGCGAGGCTCAGCCTGCAGAGCTGCCCGGGCGAGCGTCTGAGGGTAAGAGGAGGCTGTGTCATGCTGGGACACCGGCTCACACCGTGCCCAGCAGTCAGTTTCCCTCTGAGGGACCGTAGCCTGTAGAGATGGACCCCAGGCAGGGCTGGCCACGCATGTTCCTCACTGGTGGCTCTGTACGCGGCCTTCCTTGTCCGTCTGTTGGCAGATTGTTAATTGGTGAAGGTAACATTAACTTGTAGTGAAGTTTTCTAAGATGCACTTAGATTTCTATGTGAGTTCATCTTAATGTGTGTGACTTGTAAATGTTTTTATAGTTGGTGGCATAGACTTTGGGCTTTTGGGCAAAACTAGGTCCTGTCTGGTGACTCATATGAACAAATGGGGCCTGCCTGTGAGCTGCTCTTACGTTGTGTCTAGTAGACTGTGGGTGAGCATGCACCATGTCTAAGATGACTTTCTGCCTCTCTCGAAAAACAGGTGTTTACCCAGCTGCCCTGGAAAACTACCTGCTGGCTGACATTTATTCAGGGCAGCCTTCACCAGTAGAAACTGACCCTCAGGAGTCGCACAGGTTGGGCAGCACTTGGGAAATAATCTATCCCTTTCCTCCTGGTCGCTTGGCCCTCCCTGGGTTTTGTCCTAGGTGTTCATGGAGCCCATCAGTCTCTTGTTCCCTTCGGGCCTTTCTCTGTGCCCTCAGTCTTCATAGGAAGCTCCGGGTAAGAGGCTGTTTACCAGTACCCCCACCAGGGTGTCTGAGTGTTTATAGCTGTGCTGTGGGGACAGGACTTCCATGACCCCATTTGTTTATAATTTGGGGCAAGTTAAGGTGTAAGTGCAAACATAAAGCCTTTTGTGAAGTAGGGAACAGTTTTCATCTGTGAAAGACTCTCATTTGGTGCAGGGGAACAGGTTGGCTTTAAAAAGGGAGGTGAAGGTGGAGGAGTGGTCTCCCCTCTCCATCTGTTTGAAGGGTGGGGAGATGCCCAGAATGGAGTCTGTGAGTGCCTGACTTGAGCACTCAGGTTTGTAAAGCTTCTGCCTTATTTTTCCTGTGTCAGCGGAGAACTGTTTCCATCCTGAACGGTCCTGGCCAAGCTCCATGAGGATTTCGGCTCCAGCCCTGGCCTCAGCTGCACAATTGATGGCAGTTCCTTGCAGGTGAAATGAACAGGCCCAAGTGCCTGGACCTTCCTCCCTTCACTGGGGACAAATGCTGGCTAGGTGCTGAGTTGATTTGCTCTTATAGATGCTGAGCTGCCATTGAGGACATGGGGTCCATGCTGTTCAGAGAGGAGCATCGTGCATCTGTTAGAAGTGCTGGTTGGTTGGCTTTTTTTAATTTTAAAGATTTTATTTATTTAGTTTTTTTTTTTGAGAGAGGGGACGGGAGGGAGCAAAACATCAATAGGTTGCCTCTCATACATACCCACCAGGATTCAGAACCTGCAACCCAGGCGTGTGCCCTGACTGGGAATGGAACCTGCAACCTTTCACTTTGCGGGACGATGGCCAACCAACTGAGCCGTTCTGCTCAGGGCTGGTTGACTTTCTAAAAGCCGAACTCAAGAGTCAAGTTTTGTTCCCCACAGAAAACCAATTATGAGGGCCCCCAGTCATGTCTAGGGGGCCCCCGATGGTCCTATGTGGTGAGGATTATGGTGTGTGGGCCCTGCCTGCTTCCTGGGCCTGAGGACTGAGGTTGAGGTGGGGGAGGTCCACGGGATTGTCCTGCAGGTAAGGAGCAGTGCTCTTGGAGGAGTTTTCAGCTGAGTATCGAGTAGCTGACTGGTCTTTGTCATTAGCGTTGGAAGTCTGGGGCAGGGGTCTTCCTCGTGCCTTTGGGCAGTTCTTGGGGAGCATCCCATGTGAGTGAGCAGTGCCAGTGGGTCACCAGTCAGCAGGCACGCCTCAGAGTATGTCAGGAGTTGACTGGGATTTTGTGCCTGTTTGGTTGGGCTTCCCCTTTGGGCCCCCTCCTGACATACCAGTGCCTCCTGCCTGGCCCAGGTGTCTCGTCTCTGCCTGTGCTGCCGACTAGCACTTCGAGCACTTTTTGAAGTGATTTCCTGGTTTCAGATTTTGAAGTGAACTTAGTTGCCTTAGATTCCGAGGAAGATTGGGTTTTCCATTAAAAAGATGAGTGATGTCATTGAACACCTCAGTACGTACATCTCATGTCCTTCCCTATTCTGTCCTGGCCCTATAAGCAGCTAGCAGGGATTCTACCCACCAGTGACACATGAATCTCACAGCCTTTCACTTTCTGTTTCTGGACCTGCCTTTGGGGTCTCTATTGATAGATTGCAACTGTGTGAGGTGAGCATTTACAGTCTCACCTTTTACACATGAGACAACAGGGCTTAGAGTTGCGGAGACCCCAGTCTGGAGTCACATGGCTGGTAGACAGCAGACTGAGGGTGGAGCTGGGCCTCTCACGAGCAACACCAGGCTCCCTCTGGCTCGGCCAGGGCCCTTTGCCTTTCTTCGGTGGGGCGAGGAGCCCCAGGGGCACAGCAGTATGAGGCCTTCTAGCCACCCCCAAAGGTAACCAAGGACTTCGGCTTTTCTTTTTTTAAGGTTTTATTTATTTTTTAAAGAGAGGGGAAGGGAGGGAGAAAGAGAGGGAGAGAAACATCAATGTGTGGTTGCCTCTCGTGCGCCCCCAACTGGGGACCCGGCCAGCAACCCAGGCATGTGCCCTGACTGGGAATTGAACTGGCAGCTCTTTGGTTCTCAGGCTGTCCACTGAGTCACACCAGCCAGGGCAGGACTTCGACTTTTTGTTACCACAGCATATCGAAGCAGACTGTTCACCTCCATGATACCTGAATCCAAGTACAAAGTGCAACTTTCTCCAGCTGCTTTCTGAAATCTTAACCTGTTTGCAAATTGTTAAACTCAGAATCTTTCAAGCATGACATGTTGGCAATGTTTCTTAACGAATGAAATTGCATTTTAATTAAAATTGAGATTATAAATTTAAAATGGCCTGCTTAATGGCTCTTTAATTTTAATTTCATATGTACAATTCACAAGTATTTTATCCCTGCTGTGTGCCAGCCCTGTGCTAGATGCCGAGTCCATATGGGTAAAATAAAGGTATGTTTAGTGGGAAAGTAGACATTTAACCAGTGAATATAATAGATTGATTAAATAATTGATTAACTAGTATTTTGAAGTTAGACCACGTAATTGAATTTCAAAGCAATATCCTGAACATATGGAACAGATATTCATGGTGACTTTTTAAATTAAAAAGGCATACTTTTACACTTTTGAATGCTAATTCTTTGGATATAAATAATTCTAGAATCTATTTTTTAAATATTTTATTTATTTACTTTAGAGAGAGGGGAAGGTGGAGAAAAAGAGAGACAGAGAAACATTAGTGTGTGAGAGAAACATCAGTCAGTTGCCTCTTGCATGGACCTGGCCCGCAACCCAGGCATGTGCCCTGACTGGGAATCCACCTGGTGGCCTTTTGGTTCACACACCAGTGCTCAGTCCATAGAGCCACACCAGCCAGCTCGTGGAGATAAATAATTCTGCTGCTAGAAGCCACAAAATGGGTAGTTCTCCTGGGATTTATCATGTGTTGGGATGCTTTGTATCACTTTTAGGTATATTTATATAACCAACTTTAAAAATTACTCTAGTAGATTTGCGTACTTGGACATGTGCCTGTTTTTTTTTAAATCCTCACCTAAGGACATGCTTATTGATTTTAGAAAGAGGGGAAGGGAAGGGGAGAGAGAGAGAGAGAAACATCAGTGTGAGAGATGGAGCACGCAAGCCAGCATTCTGCCCTGACTAGGAATTAAACCCATGACATCTCACTTTACAGGACAATGTTCCAGTCAACTGAGCCACACCGGCCAGGGCCCTATTTTTTCATTTAAAAAAATATTGAATTGTATTATGAGCTAATCTTTAGAAATACAGTAGGGACTCCTCCCACGTGAAAGCTCCCTCTCCACGTCTTCATTTCCATTCCCACAGCAGCCTTGTGCTGTGTGGGGCACTGGGCCTTTTTGCACCGAATACCACATGTGGGCATCATTATTTCCAGGGTGCCAGGACTGACTTCTTGGCACTCTCTTCTAGGCCAATGAGGTGACAGACAGCGCGTACATGGGCTCCGAGAGCACCTACAGCGAGTGCGAGACCTTCACCGATGAGGACACAAGCACCCTGGTGCATCCCGAGCTGCAGCCTGAAGGGGACATGGACAGTGCGGGTGGCTCGGCCATGCCCTCCGAATGCCTGGATGCTATGGAGGAGCCTGGCCATGGTGCTCTGCTGCTGCTTCCAGGCAGGTCTGTAATCCTCCCCAGCAAGGCCTTGGTGTTGTGCATAAGGTAGCATATGGACATGTCTGATGGGAGGTTGAGTTCATGGAGGGGTTCGTGTCAGAGTGGTTTAGAATCCTCACAGGACATGAGAGAGAGTGTGGACCCTGCAAGATGACCTATGCAATATTCTGGTCACAGCTGCCTTCCCTGTCAGGAGATGCCCCTCTTGCTGACGGTGGATGATAGCACTTACGAACACTACACAACTACTTTGACTATATAGAGACAGGAATTCTAGGAGAACAACTTGGTCTTTTAGATTTTGTCATCATAGCTCTTATAAACCAGGCACGATGCAATATTCAGTAAATGTCTGCTGTCAAGATCTTAGAACCTCATCTTTATGGCCTCCCTAATCAGAACTCCTTTCTCCCCCCACCACCTGAGGTGTCCCCATGCACTTGAGGACCAGTGAAAGAAAGGGGAAGGGTGGGAGTGGTGCTGGTGGCTCATCTGGGCCCAAATCATAGCTTGTGGTTTTGCCCTGTGCTACTAGGAAAGCCACTGTGCTTAGCAACCTTGGAAGTGGTTGGTTTTTATTTTGTTTTGCTTATTTTATTTAATTCTTTGTTTGGTCCTCACAGTTTTTTGTTTTTTCTCTTTAATTGAAGTATTACATAATGACACGTGAGTGCACCTGTCAAAGGTGCACAGACATGCTTGCACCTGGGGCCCCCTGTTGCTTCCCTCCCAGGCTCTCTAGCTTTGTAATGGCAGCATTGCTTTTCCTGGTTTTGCACTCTACATAATGTGTAATTACATTGAAGTATCCTTTTACACCTGGCTTCTTTCATTTAACATTGTGGCTGTGTGGTTTACCCATATTCTTTTCATTTCCTTTCACTATTAGAGCATTCCATTGTATAAACATGCCACAGATTTTTTAAAAAAAAATTTTTTTAGAGAGGGGGGAAGGCAGGGACAAAGAGGGAAAGAAACATCAATGTGTGGTTGTCTCTCGTGTGCCCCCTATGGAGGTGCAACCCAGGCATATGCCCTGACTGGGAATTGAACCGTGACCCATTGGTTTTCAGGCTGGCACTCAGTCCACTGAGCCACTCCAGCCAGGGCTGCAGCCTTTTAATTTACTGTTGGTATACACTTGGGTAGTTAACAGTTTGGGTTTTATGGGGGGGGGGGGGCTGTAAACATTGCATGTGTTTTAGTGGTACATCTGGAACACATATGTTCAGCTTTAGAAGTTATTTCACTTATTGCAGTTCAGACAGTTATAGTCAGGACTTACAGGAGTAGTTACATGTCTGCCAATGCTGTGGATTCTGGTTGCTCCCCATCTTTTTAAAAAATATTTTATTTACTTATTTTTAGAGAGAGGGGAAGGGAGAGCAAAAGAGAATGAGAGAAACATTAGTGTGTGGTTGCCTCTTATGCACCCCCTACTGGGGACCAGGCCCCAAACCCAGGCATGTGCCCTGACTGGGAATTGAACCAGTGACCCTTTAGTTTGCAGGCCTGTGCTCAATCCACTGAGCCACATCAGCCAGGGCCGGAACAGATATTTTTCATTTTGTTGTACTCTAGTCCAGTTTATCAGTTTTCCTTTTGTGGTTAGCACTTCTGTGTGCTGCTTGAGAAATCTTTGCTTACCTCCACATCATTATAATGTTTACCTATGCTTTCCTTTAAAAGCCTATTGTTTAGCCCTGACTGGTGTGACTCCTTGGACTGAGTGCTGGCCTGCAAATCAAAAGGGTCACTGGTTTGATTCTCGGTCAGGGCACATGCCTGAGTTGCAGGCCAGGTACCCAGTTGGGGGCGTGCAAGAGGCCACCCATCGATGTATCTCTCACACTTTGATATCTCTCTCCCTCCCTTCTCCCTCTCTAAAAATGAATAAATAAAATCTTTTAAATAAATAAATAAAAGCCTATTGTTTTGCCTTCATATTTATATGTTAGCCCTTTTTTTAAAGATTTTATTTATTTATTTTTAGAGAGAAGGGAAGGCGGGGAGAAAGAGAGGGAAAAACATCTGTCCGTTGCCTCTCGCACATCCCCAGCTGGGGACCTGGCCCACAACCCAGGCATGCGCCCTGATGGGGAATTGAACCAGCAACTTTTTGGTTGGCAGGGTGGCGCTCGATCCACTGAGCCACACCAGCCAGGACTGTTATGTCTCTTGTGTGTATGGTGTGAGGTAGGGATAGTTTTTCCTGTATTGATATTCAATCATTTCAACCTTATTTTGAAAAGATTCCCCTTTCCTCCACTGTCCAGGTGTCATCTTGGTTCCCTGAGGTGCCTACCAGAACATTGAACTTAACACATGTGACTCATAGCATTTTTGCTAGAAAGTGTGAGTCACATCCTCAGTTGGGGGGGCTGCTCATGGCCCTGAGTCAGAAGGTGTCATTTCTGTTTTGTCTTTTCAGATCCCACCTGCACAGCCAGTCCGTCGTCATGGTGATAGGTGGCGAGGAGCATTTCGAGGACTATGGTGAGGGCAGTGAGGCGGAACTATCCCCAGAGACTCTCTGCAGTGAGGAGCCCGGCTGCGCAGATGCTGCTTTTCTCGCCCCCAGGTAACGCAGCCCTGCACCGGTGTGCATGTCCTCCTCCTGCATCTGTCTCCCCGTATTTAGTTGTGGGGAAGTTTCCCCTTTGGTTCATAAATTGGTAAGAGGGAACTTCTTTTATTCACTGTGGTATAACATACCGTCAAATCTCAAGATTCATGCCTTGGTGAACGTTAGCTGAAGTTTCTCCTGTCCAGTTGTATTCCCAGATCGCTCCACATTTGGGAGGCCTCAGCTGAACCACATGGCACAGAGCCTACGCCGGGCTACTCAGCTTTGTGGGTCCCTGAGCCACTAGTTGTGACCTCATTGTGGTTGCTGGCTGGCTTTGTGAGAAGCTGGGCACGCATGCGTGTGCAGACATTCCAGTCATGGTGCTGTCAGCTGCAGTCGCCGCATTGTGCATTAGACTCTCGGACCTTATTTCTGTAGCTGAAAATCTGTGTGGTTTGACCGGCCTCTGAGGGAGCCTTTAACATCACAAACAGTTCTTTGGATGCATTTCCTTATAATGACCTAACATCCCCATACTGTCTGGGAAGTTATGGCTTTCCACTACAATACCCAAAGGGCGAGATTCTCACTTATGGAGCTGGTTGCTCCCAGCTGTCCTTCCTCACAGGAGGCGCTGGGAGAAAACCAGCGCTTTTTGTCCTGTGGGCCTGGCAGCCTTTCACTGGTGGCCGGCCCATCAGAGAACATGGCTCTCTTCAGGTGGGATCCTTGCCTGGCTGAACAGTCACCTCTCTCCTGTGCACTCCAGTTCTTGAAATTCTCCATCTTTGCTGACAAAGGCCAAGTATCTTGAAATTGGCAACTATAAGATTCTTCCTTCGCCCAGACTGTTACCCAGGCCTAGGGGACCTACCTGGGTCGGGGCCAGTGCCGGGAGGGTCTGCCTGACAGGGTCCCCCTTGCTTTCTTCATGTGCCACCCCCTGAGCTGCCCACCAGGGAAGGGTGAGGAGCCCTCCACAGGCGTCTCTGGGAATGAGAGTGAGTGAAGCGGTGAGCTTTCTTTCAGTAGCTCTCCTCTTCCCATACCCACACTCAAGGCCAAAGGACTTGGCAATGCCTCGTGTGTGTTTCTGTTCTGTTTTGGTAATCTCTTCCTATTTGTTCCTGTCTTTTGTCCACTGTTTCAGTTTTCTGTCTCAAGTGCAACATCTATGCTACAATCGATGGTTTCCTTTAACCTTTCTTCAAATTGAACTTCCAAGTTGGCTTTTCAAAGCCTGTGGGTCTTCATGCCCCAGGGACGTTGCTGCCTTCTGGCAGGTGTATCACCAGTGCCCTGAAAGCCCAGGGAGGCTACTAGAATTCTTTATTTTTTTTTAATTCTCACCCAAGGATGTTTTTATTGATTTTAGATGGAGAAAGAGAGAAATGTTGATGTGAGAGAGAAACATCAATTGGTTGCCTCCTGTAAATGCTTCAACCAGGGATTGAACCCACAACCGAGCTGTGTGCCCTGACTGGGAATTGAACCCACAGCCTTTTAGTGCACAGGATGATGCTCCAACCAACTGAACCACCTGGCCAGGGCTAGTATTCTGACTTTTTAACAAAGGTCTTTAAAAAAGACAGAATTATTGCTAATTTATAATTCACATGTAGTCTTTGATATTGGTTGCTTTTAGAGCCATTATTAAAGCAGTTACAGTACAGTGAGTAACACTCCACATGAAGACATGCTTTGCTCTCACATGGATGAGTTTTTGACAAAGGAGGGTACAGCATATCAAGGCACATACTTCCTGCTAAGGGTAGCTGATGGACTACCCTCTGAGCTGGTAGTCGTTTCCTCTGAGCACCTGACCAGGAAGGAGCAGGTGTGTGGCTGAACCCCCCACAGCCTGAGCTGGTGGTGCACGTTATGGGTCATGGGTGGTGTTGAAGGAGGTGGGTTCACAGCAGTCTGAAAGTAAGAGTGAGACTCTTCCACAGTCAGTTACCTAACAACACTCTGTTGCCTGGCTAACTCCAGCCCTGTGTGGAGTCACAGGTAACGTGACCAGTCCTTGCTGTTTCCTGAACTGACACTTCTTGTCTCTCTAGCACCGACCCGCTTGCCGCAAAGCTGCACAGCATCCTCACTGATGAGGCCTTTGAGTTTTACTGTAGCCAGTGCCATAAACAAATCAACCGCCTAGAGGATCTTTCTGCTCGCCTGAATGATCTTGAAAAGAATAGGTAACTGATGTAGTGCCTGGCCTTGGTCTGTGTTCAAGGGTGAGGGGGACTCTTGTCCACAGCTGCCCCTGGCTGTTCTTATCCCAGGTGCCACTCACTCGGTCTAGCCAACTCTGGGGGTGCTCCCTCTGGAAGCTGGGCCTGAATTGTGGTTTGAAGGTGAGCGTGCAGATGCAGGACTCTTCCCTGGCCCCACCCCGCCCGCCCTGCATGTGTTGAGCCTGTGTTTGGCGCCCTTCGCCCTACTTGCTCCTGTGTGCATGCCGCAGTCTAATCAGCTGCTTCTCTCCCTGCTGACGACCTTTAGACACTGTGTATCCTGCTTGAGGAAATCTAGCCATGTGAAACTCTTTGCTGACAAAGAGATACTTTTTAAATTTTACTGAAATATTTCTTTAATTGGGAGTCACATGAAACAGCATGGGAAATTTAAAGTAAGATTTGGTCCTTAAAAACAACTTTGCAGTCAGCTTTCAGGAGTGTTGGTTTAAATCAGGTATGCATTCTGTAGATGAGCCCCTCCTCTGAACTTGCTTTTGTAAGGCTGCCTCAGACTCCATTAAAAGAAGAATCCAGTTTTGCCGCCCTGTTTTTGAAACAGGCCACCAGGATCCCAGCATGTACTGCTGCTCTCTGCACTCAACAGTCTGTTCTGCCTCCTCCACCTCCTGGGCCCAGTTTGTGTTAGACCATTTGCTTCCCTTTCCACCTCCATTACCCAATCTCAGCTCAAGCCAGAGTTCCAGAGGAGACAGTTCCTTTTGTTGGCTCCTCACAATTTCACAAGCTCCATCATAGAAAACATTTTTTGGGTAGTTTTCATGTATTGACATGCCCATTAAGCATACTGTTGATTTAGCTGGTCATATGGGCAAGCCCCTAGGTGAGCCACTTGGTACATGCCAATGCTGGTCAGCCCTGTGGGCTACCATGCAATAATCCAGGGAAGCTTCCAGGAAGAAGGGGTCTCAGACTCGTGGGAGGTTACATAAATGGTGGCAGAAATGTGAACCATCTTGATGACTTAAGATTTAGAGTAGTCCTCTAAAAACCATTTATGTATCTTTTTTTTTAAGATATTTAAAATTTATTTTTAGAGAGAGGGGAAGAGAGGAAGAGAAACATTGATGTGCAAGAGAAACCAATCACCTCTTGTATGCCCCCATCCAGGGACCAAACCTGCAATCTAGGCATGTGCCCTAACCAGGAATCACCAACAACCTTTCAGTTTGCAGGACGATGCCCAACCCACTGAGCCACACCAGTCAGAGGTCACTTAGTATCTTGAGGAGCCTGTCCCTTTAGAGCCTCAGCCAAGGCCAGCTCAGTCTTCCTGTTGGGTCCCATGGCCTTGGTCCTGTTGTACGTGTTGTTTTTCCTCTAGTTCCGATTCCAGTGCATTTAATAACGTCTTTGACTCTTTTTCTTACGTTCCATGCAACACAACACAGGCGATAGTGCAGCAAATGCCCAGTTCAGTGGAGACGATACAACGAGACCCCAACATCTGTGGCCCATCAGCAGCTTCAGAGGGAAGCCTGGTGGGGTCCCAGCAGCTGTGATGAGAAACTGGAAGTGGTTTTTAGGGGGAGGCCTGCCAGAGAGACTGGAGAAAATGGGGTGTATGGTGATTCCCAAGATCTGCAGGCCTCTCTTTTAGGGAAAACCAGTTTCACCTCTTGTGTATGTTTTCTTGGGTGCTTTGGTGAGGGGTCATTTTTTCTTTCCATGTGAAGACTTGCCTTCCTGCTAAGTGGGTTTCAGTACAGGTTTGCATTTCTCATTCTCTGAAGATTTTTGACATAGAAATGATTTTTTTTCCATGTGGAGAATCTGTCCCAGAACGGCTGTGGTCACCTCTGTTAGGCCTTGTGAGGCAGAAAACAGACAGGGACATGGCTAAATATAGCCAGCAAGTCCAGTGGGGTCTCCCCTCTGAAAGTTCCCTGCGAAAGACCCTACCAAGGTTGGTTAACATACCATTAAAATCATTATTGTAGTAAGGACACAACTGTCAGTCAGGAAATTCCCCCCTAAACACTCAGTTGAAAAGATCTGAATCTTGCCTGTTGGTTTCCGTAGACTTGCCTCAGAATAAATGTATTTTGTCTTGAGTAGTGGAAAATAAAATGTGATTTAGTCCAAACTGTATCTGGAAGCTTTGACATCATATAGAATTTCTAATCAGTGAGCCTTAGAAGATGCTGATAGCTAGCGTATTTCCCAGGTTACCTGGGAGCCTCTGTAAAAGCAGTTCATTTTGTAGAAAATTGTGTAGAAGTCTGCTTCACCCAGAGGTGCATCTTCACGTTCTAAACCCTGTCACTGGACTACCGCCCATTCCCTGAGAGGCCCGTTAGGGAGACTGAGTGGTGCGTCTGTTGTAGCTTATTTGTTTCGGGGGGTCTCTGTATTATTAGGATGAAATTAGATTTGTGTTATCAGTCAGGGTCCAGTCAGGAGAGGGAGCCACACGGTGATTTGAACAGGGTAAGTGTAATTAAAAGAGTAACTAACTACACCGGGATCAGCTAGTAAGAGTAGAGAGAACCCGGAAGAAGGGAGGAATAGACTCTGTAGGGAGCAGCCACCCCACCCAGGGCTGAGATCCAACCCTGCTTCAGAGGGTGTGGCTCTGGCAAGCTGGGTGGCAGAAGTGTCACTGTGGTGCCTCACAGGGGTTGGGAGGGTTAGAGACACGACTTACTAGGAATCTGCCTTCTAGAACTTGCTAGAAGTCTGCTCTCTGGCTGCCTAGAAAGCTGTTCACTGGGAGGGGTCTCGCCAGAGGTACTTTGCTACAAAACTGCCAGAGCATGTGTCAGGGAAGCTGCTGGGCACTGGCACTGGGGAAGATGCCCAGGTAGGACTTTGGAGTGTTAAGTGTTAGTGGTGAAGTTAAAAGTGATGGCAACGCTTGGCTGTTACAAACAGGCCCGTGTCATGTTTCATGTGGGGGCCAACTGTTCAGTCTTGGCCCTCGTGGGGATACGGCATTGGCCAGTGGCTTGAACCCAGTGCAACCAGCTGGTGGGTGCAGGCACTGGGGTCATCCTCTGAATGGAGATTTGATTGTGGCTCTACTGGAAATGACTTTGGAGGGGGTGGAATAATGTGACTTGCTGAGGCCTTGACCAGCCCTTGAGATTGTTCCCATGTCCCTGAATGTTTTGCTGAGCGGGCCTTTCTGTGCATGGAGTTGGCCTCGCAAGCAGGGTGCTGCATGCCTGTGAACGCACCCCCATCCCCATATCTCTGCAGCCTGAACTTCCTGTTTCCTCCCCGTCTGTTCTCTAACATGATTTTTCTGTTTATTTTGATTTTGCACAGTCCGACGAAGCGGCTCTCCAGCAAGAAGGTGGCGAGGTAGGAAACCTTTGTCTGTTTACTGAGATACTCTTCTGAGATGTATCACTAATCTTAGCTCTTTAAAAAAAAACAAGTTATTTTTTAAAACTTGTCAGTTGCCTCTCATGTTTTGGGATTCAAAATAATTTGAGGGGACAGATTGTGAAAAGAATTTCCAAAGCTGTGGATTAGGACCTGAATTTATGATGGGGAAGTAGATGTTGAGAGTTTTTGACATCCCTCCTATTTTATTGATATTCTCCACAAGGGGGCCCATGTCCCTGCATGTTTGCTGCAGGTTAACCCGCTCACTGGCAGAAAGCCAGGAGGGCCCTGGTCTCAGAGAGCTAGAGCAGGATGGAGCCGGGGTCTGGGTCTGCCTCCTTCAAAGGCTGTGCCCTTCCCACCCCTGCCGGCTCCCCAAGGTTACGAGAAGAGGAAGGAGATGTGCCTAATGCTGGGTTTCTAGAGAACATGCTTTTGTGACCATTTCTCCACTTTTCAGTTTTGGATACTACTTACCGAGTCCTATGGTGAAAGGTAACAGCTCATACATTCATCCTCTCCCCTGACATGCTTGTTCTAAAAATAATTTTCACAGGGTTTATAAGGTGCCAGCATTCTTCATAGGAAGCCATGTAACATGTCACTGTATTTCTTTTTTAAGACAAGTCATTGTTTCCCCTGGAGTCAGTAATTGTCTTCATGTTTTTATTTGCTTCATCTTCTGTGCTGCTCTTGCCTCCACCCTCCCGCCCTCCAGCAGGGCCGCGAGGCAGCCCTGTGCCTGTCTGGTCTTTTCCTCCCAGAGCCTCCGCCCTCAGCACAGGTGTATGCAGCCTGCGTAGCAGTGGCGGTGGTCCTGCTGTCCTCACCCCCCCGCCCACACACATAATGTGTGAACCAGATGTTTTGTTTCAGGTGTTGGATCCTCTCGTTCCCTGATACTCTGTCTTCCTATTTTTTCATCTCATCCTTTTGTCCAGCAAAAGTCCTGTAGCTTGCTGAGAAAAGAGGTGCCCAGGAGATAAATTTTGGGGACCTTGCTAGATATTTTATTCTTATAGTTTGGCTTGGAATAGGAGTCTGGGTTGTAACTAATTTTCCTTCAGAGTTTTGGAGGCATTGCTCATTGTCTTCTAATACTAGGGCTGCTACTGAGAGGTCTAATGCTTTCTGGTTTTTCTTTGTGACCATTTTCTCTCTCTGGAAGCTTATAAGTTGTTTTCTGTATCTCGGTAGTTAAGAAATTTTATGATGAGTCTTGTGGGTTCCCACTCCCATTAATTATGCTAGGCTGAATGAAGGATGTGCTATTTCAGTCTGGAAGCTTCTGTCCCTTAGTTCTGCCTGTTTTTTTGGGGGGGGGCGTGTTTTTTTGTTTGTTTGTTTGTTTTTTACATTGTCTTCTGTTCCACTTCCTGCTCCTTCTGGGATTCCTGCTTGTGGCCCCTCATGCCTCCATCCTTGCTGCCGCGTGCCTCCCTGCTCTGGCTCTGCCTGCCATGACGCACACACCACCAGCCCTTCCCATCTCTTCCGTGAATTCTCGTCTGGCTGTCCTTCTTGTTAGAGATCTCTCTTAAACAACTGGAGTTTTTGACATCCAGTAAATCTTCTGCATGTTGAAGGGGTTGCTCACAGCCAGCAGTCAGCCCCTGGCCAACAGGTAGTGTGAACAAGCCCCTGTGTCAGCAGGTCTTTTCTCCAGCCAGGCCGGCCGATTTTCCTAGTACAGGGTCCTGCCTGACTGCGGGCGTTTGGGGTGCTGTGCTGGGCCCACCGTGTAGTGTGCAGACTGTGGGTGCACTCCATTTGTAGGCCCTGTGTCCTGAGTCCAGGGCTCCTCCTGGTCTAGGAGAGTCCTGCTTTTCAAGGGTATGGTGGATACTGCCCCTCCCAGCCTCTGTGCTCATCCCTGCCGCCCCATTCTCAGGTGCCGGTCCTTCCTGGGTTCCCCAGAGCAAACAGGCCAGCTTCCCGTGTCTCAGCGGCTGGCTGCGGTCCTCCTGCCTCTGCCCCCTACTGCCTAGTGCCCTGGACATCTCTTTCCTGGTGCCATTTCCTCTTTGGGGATATAAACATTTTGTTTTTATTTATTTATTTTTCTATCATCTTAAGGGCTTAGAGTCCAGAGGCAGCTTAGGTGAACGTCATCAGTCCACCTTCTCCACTTGTTTTGTCACATCACCCCTTTCAGAAAAGCATCCGTGTTCTTACTAATATAATATTAATTCCAAACCATACTTTGTTACAATTTTAACATTACTTTCTGCCTTAGTTTCATATTTTGCCCCAGTCAAGCTACCGCTGGTGAAACTAAGGAAGGTAGAAACCTAGCTGAGCCATCTCCTCGCGGCCTCCCACATCTGGGACGTGGAGGGCCCAAGCTGCTGCGGCACCCGTGGCTGAGGAGCGGAGGAGGAGCTCCAGGGTGTGGAGCCACTTCCTTCGCAGGACAGCCAGGGCTAGTGCTCACTCACGCCCCGGGCTGCACGCCGCCCAGTGTGGCCCACTTTGCTGGAGACCTGTGTCCACTGGGGCCAGTGGTTGGAGTTGGCTGTGGCAGAAGACAGTCCCGCCTCTGCAGCCTCAGAGAGACCCCTCTGGTCTCTCACTGTTGCTGCCATTGGGAGTGTATTTGAAAAATCAAATACAGATGCATGTATGTGGGTGACGCTGCGTGCAAAAGTCATGATCCTTAATTGATACTTCACGGGCCCGCAGTGGAAGATGAGATTATGTCGTATCATAGGGAGGAAGACGTCATGTTTTATTACCTAAGTACAAAGTACCTTCGCCCCATCAGCTGGTGGGGAGGGAGGCTGGGCTTGTTAGGCTCCAAAGACCAGCAGGAGGACTCTGCAGACACAGTGCAGCTAGTGGCTCCAGCCCCTCGGTAATAACGTCCTGCTCGGACTTCCCTTTGGTGGAAACCCAGGCTACTGGGTTTGCTTTTCAGACCTGGAAATGCTCACATTTGAAGAACTTGCATTGGGCTCCCCACTCTTTTCTCTCTTTATTCTGCTGAAGGACCTTTTCTGGACTGGGCTGTTGTTTCTTCTCCACAGACACTTGCACCAGTCAGGGGTCCTGACCATGGAGGCCCTGCAGGATCCGCCCCCAGAGCCCGTGGAGGGCATGGAAGAGGACATTGCGGACAAGGTAGGCCCTGCATGGTGGGGCTAGGGGGCCACGTGTAGACAGCAGGTCTCAGTCTCAGGACTTGTGCCGGGTACCGTGGCCCTGGGGTGTGGGCCCACTATGGGCACATGGGGGTATGTTGGGCGAGGTGCCTGTGGGGCTCCTGGCCACGTCCTGGTGAGCAGATAGAGCACAGCAGGAGGTGGTGATGGCGCTGCAAGTGCTAATTAGGTTCTGCTCCAGCCCTACCGTTCTCCAGTATTTCACGTACATGAAAGAAGACAGGGACAGAACAGTGAGCGCCAGTGGCTCTCAGCCCGAATTTTATGTGCTGAGTTCTGGGTGCTCTGACACTCAGAGACTGTGCTCAGCAGGGCCCATGGAGGTGGGATCAGGGGGCACTGGAGGTTTGGGGGACGAGGGTACTTAGCTTAAAGTGATGGCAGAACCAAACATTGTGTGGAATGGGCTTTTCCAAGAGAGAAGCCAGGTAATTGGGTTATGGGTTATGTGGAGCCAAGCCAGACAGCCATCGGTGGTAATGGGCCCAAACTTCTGAAAGACCAGCTCCAGAAAGAGGGGAAGAGGAGGGTGGCAGCACACACCTCTCACCCCATCCTGTCCCTTCTCACCCCCTCCCGACTCCCCTCACTTCCTCTCTATAGCACCTCCAGCATCTGCGCTGCACAGCCTTCTCTGGCTCTCAAGGCTGGTGGCCTTCACTCCTCCTACCACTTTTGTAGATGTCTGTCTCCCATCTATTTAGTGAGCTCCCTGGAGAGGGAGGAATCAATCCCTGGGGCTCTTCTGTCCTTGAGTCCCCTGGCATATGCCGCCTCTGTGGGTTGGGTCTGGCAGAGAGCAGGTGCCCCTTCCTGTGGGGGGGCCCATAGTTGGCTCCCCTATGTACTATCACAGAGTCATCACAAAGGCGCTATCAGGTCACTCAGGCCTCTCCAGCCCCCTGCTAACATCTGCACTTGGGGTTTTGAGGCCATGGAATCCTCACTGTTCACACTGATGTCTGTGGGGGCCGCACTATGTCGTTTATGGGGATAGTGTCCATGAACAAGGTAGACCCAATTCCAGCTGAGTGAACACTGTCTTGCTCCCAAGGTTGTCTTCTTGGAGAAGCGGGTGTCAGAGCTGGAGAAGGACACTGCTGCCAATGGGGAGCAACATAGCCGGCTGAGGCAGGAAAATCTCCAGCTGGTGCACAGGTGAGCATGGCACAGTTCCCTTCACCTCACAGAACAGAGCGTGACTGCTGCACAGAGGTCGGCTCTCACCTGGAGCTGCCCTCCATCCTGCAGCTGGGAGCCAGCCAGGGGATGGTTCTGGGTACCTTTTTGAGCATGGCTCCAACTTAGTACTATCCCCAGCCGATTTAGGGCATCAGAGGAAAGAAATAGGAGAGGACACCGCCTCACCGATCTCTCAGGAGCAGCTGAGGCCAGCACTCACACCGCCTGCACAGAGTGCCTGGTGGAGGGAGGCCTGACCTCAGGGGTGGCAGAGGCTACGTGGGGAGAGGATGCCCAGGGCCTCAAATAGCAAGTGGGGGCTTTGGGAGTGGGGTCCAGTGCCTTCAGAGTCCCCTGCAGTGGGAGCATGACCCATCCTTGGGGCATGCAGGTGCTTACAGGTGCTTAGCCACAGAAGCAAGAAACAAGTGGGGACTGCTGGGTTCACAGCAGAATGCACAGTCTGACTCTAACAGTGAGAACACTGAGGAAGAAATAACAGATGTGTGAAGCAGGGGTTAGCTACTGTGTTTGCACAGAGGGGGTGGGGGCTACCTCCCCTCTCCTGTTTTGTGGACTTTTTATAGAATACTGTGTGAGTTTTAGTGTTTTGAAACTAGTCATTCAGTGTAACCCCATGCCAGAAGCAGCAGCTGTCAGGCTGTGCTACCTGAGTACATCTGGTGCTGTGGGGGCGAGGCTCTGGGGAGCCCCCAGGGGCCTGAGAGAGGCAGGAAGTGTGGTATGTTGGGATCTCCACGAGAGAAGCGGCCTGCCCATGCCAGGCTGCTGGAACAAAAACTCGGCTCTGCCACACATTCTGTGACCTCAGGCAAGAAGAGCCCTGTCCTCAAAGCCCCGGTTTCCACACCCATGACCTGAACAAGTGCACTCTGAGCGCTCTGAACAGTGTGGGACATAGGCACGCACACACTCATGCAGCATGCGCCTCATGTGCTCCAGGGTTGTGCTCAGCTCCTGTTGTGATGTTTTCATCCTGGAAGCTACTGATCACTTATGGAGTTAAAACTAGTTCACTCGTGCAGTCGCAGGGTTCTCATGGGAGGGCCTGCCCCAGGCCCTGCTGCAGAGCCAGGGTAGGGTCTGCCACATTTGTGAAGGGGCTTGGGCTGCAGTGCGGCACCAAGTATGTGCCTCGTCTCTGGAGACGTTTGTTACTCCCTCTCTGTCCTTGTCCAGGGAAGTCTGAGTAGATCACCAGACTCCTTTCTCAAGCTGACTGGTGAGATTAGTCTAATCCGATGGGCACTTACCAGTTATCCACATAAGTAGTTGAAAGCCTATGTCCTATGGCTCATCCTTTCCCAAGGTCAGACACGTCCAGTTCCTGTGGATGTTCTTTTGGTGTCGGCCCCAGTTCTCCTGAACAGTGCGCTTCTGCTGCAGTTTCTTGGTGTTCCCCACATGGAACATTGTCAGCCCAAGCCAGCCCTGCCACACAGCTCTCCTACTCTTCCTCCATCCCAGGAATTCCAAATGCTTCCTCTGCATTTGATTTTTTAAAATTTTCTGGATCCCACATTTTCTTCTCTTTTGGTTTTCGCTTACATTCTGAAGAGGATATCCCCCATTGTTGCCTGGGAAAGGGTGCATGGGAACAGGTTCTTTGAGACCTCGCGTATCTGAGACTGTTTCACCCAGCGTGGAAATAGGTTCCCTGAGAACTCAGTGGCCCCGCTGCCTCCAACCCAAGCTGTGCTCCGGACGCCTGGCACCGCTGTGTTGCCCTGTTCTCATGCTAACACCTGAGGGCTTCCTGTTGTTTCCGCGCTGGGCACGAGGTTTTCAACCTCTTAGAAAGTGTGCCCCTCAGCTTGAGGAAGGCTTCTAGAATTATTTCTCCATACAATGCCTTTCATTTTCTTATCTAGCTAAACTTCTGTTCATAAAATATTAGACCTTTCCTCTGACTTTCTGGACTTATCCTCTGCCTTTTAAAAAATATATATTTTATATTGCCCTGGCTGGTGTGGCTCAGTAGATTGAGTGCTAGCCTGCGAACCAAAGGGTCGCTGGTTCGATTCCCTGTCAGGGTACATACCTGGGTTGCTTGCCAGGTCCCCAGTAGGGGGTGTGTAGGAAGCAACTACACATCAATGTTTCTCTCTTTCTCCCTCCCTTCCCCTCTCTCTAAAAATATTTTTATTTTTATTAATTTTTTTTTTTAGAGAGAGGGGAAGGGAGGGAGAGAACATCGATGTGCAAGAGAAATACTGATTGGTTTCCTCTTGCATGCCCCCAACTGGGGACCTGGCCCACAACCTAGGCATGTGCCCCAACTGGGAATCGAACTGGCGACCTTTTGGTTTGCAGGATGACTCCCAGCTGCTGAGCCACACCAGTCAGGGCTCTGTTCTTTTTTAATTCTCTGTAATACCCTTGCTTTTCTTCTTCAGCTCTTCTGTTGAACTTAAGTGTTTTTCATATTTAATTTCTAAGTTACTTTTTGTCGTGTGTTCCTTCTGTGACATCAGCCCTATTTTGTGGATGTGGTGTTCTAGCCCTCTGTCAGTTACAGGGTTTTTCCTCCTATTTCCTGTGTGATATACATTTCTTAGAGGTCCTTTTCTGTTGGCCTTGGCCATGTTGTATTAAAAGCTTTCCTGTGGCAGCTGGGGATCTGTGGCTACCCGTGTACTCTTTGGTGTGAGGCACCAAGAAGCAGATGGGAAGCCCTGTGTGCGGGGACAGCTTCTGGGCTCGATATCGTCCATAACAGGGCGTAGGAGCCCTTGTCTTTGGGAGGTCAGTTCCTGCCTCCGTGGGTGGGCACAGTGGTCTGGGAAGGGGCCAGGGTCAGGGCCCCTGTGAGAACATTTCCTTTGGCCCTGTGTTCTTATTGACACCTGCTTCTGTCTCTGCTGTAGACGAGGTGGGTGGGGCTGGTTTGTACACCAGGTCCTAGAGTGTCAGTGCAAGGTACCTTGGGAGTGCTCCTGGGCTTGTGCCCATGAGAGGGTCTCCTGTCCACACACCACCCTCAATGCAGGGAGCGGATACGGGGGTGAGGCACCTCCTCCTTCAGAACTGCCTTTAATGAGAGCTGTGGGTGGGAAGTCTCACGGCCTTCCTATCCCTCCTCCAGGTAGGGGCAGCTCTCTCCGGGTCCTGAGGCAGCATCTTGCCCTTGGTGGAAGGGCAGAAAGTCTCTCACATCCTCCCTTGGCCTTCACAGAGCCAATGCCCTCGAGGAGCAGTTGAAGGAGCAGGAGCTGAGAGCTTGTGAGATGGTCCTGGAAGAGACACGGAAGCAGAAGGAGCTCTTATGCAAGATGGAGAGAGAGAAGAGCATTGAGATCGAGAACCTGCAGGCCAGGTAGGCTAAGCCACCACGGCTCTCCAGAGCCATTCGTGACAACACGAAAATGCAGTAGTTGCTACACCCCACTCTGCACCCCAGGAAGGCACAGTGTCTAGGAACAAATTTTATTTTAGAAAAAGTAGAAAACCTATGTGAAGAAAACTGTAAAACTCTACTAAAGGCCACAAAAGATCTGAATTCAAAGACTGAACTTACATGGGTATGACTTTCTCTAAATCTCTTTCTAATCGATGTTATCTGAGTGAAAATACCAATTTTTTTTCTAAGGCTACTTGAAAAAATTACCTTTATACTTCTCTGGAGGCAGAAGCCTTACATAAGTCAGGAAAGGAGGGGACGAAAAGGGTGAGCACACTGTACGTGAAGCGCGCCCGGGAGGCACAGCAGGGGTAGCGGTCCCATACTACCCGGAGACGGCAGTGCCACACCCAGGCAGTTGGGCTGGAGGCGAGTGGCACATGCATAAAATTATACATGGGAGTGATGGTTCTCTTAAAACTCCGTAGGAGAAAACCCACGGATAACTTAGATGGCCACCACAGAGGAAGGTGAAGAAGGTCACCGTGGCGCCCCCTCCCAGAGCGCTTCCCCTGAGTGGCCGTGGGAGGGGGGATTTCATAGAACGTTTTTTTAGCTGAGTCAGTACCACTTTTAGAATACAAAATACAGTAGTTTTAAATATTCATGAAAGAGGACTCTTCTTAAGTTTATGTTCCTCTCCAACTCTTAAAGCTGGGAAGATACACTTTGACTTTATCTAAGAAGAGTTAGGAGGGCATTTTCAAAAGTGGAGTGGCAGGAGTGGGCTGCACGCAGAGCTGTGCCAGGGTCGCCCTGAACAGGGAAGCTCCCTTACATGCAGACATCCAGTGGGATGCCACCACCCAGGGCAGCCAGGCCTGGGCTGTCAGGACAGTGCTGCTTAGTGGACTCAAAGCAATTTCTCTTATGTGCATGCTGGTAGCCTCTCCCAAAGGACTGCTGTAGGGCTACCTTTGTGCCCTATCCACTGGGGCTGTGGGTGCTGAGAAGCAAGGCCATCCTGCCTCCCACATCTGTCCACACCAGAGCCTGCACAGCTGGGTTGTCCTGCAGGATAGCAGCCTGCGGGGGCATACCACAGACGGAGCTTCCTGCGGCTTTAGGGGAGTGAGGCAGGACTCACTCCTTCTTCTGGCCAAACCTGCTGCCTGCCCTATGCACCGAGGGTCAGTGGCTCTGTGCACCTGGACTCTGTTGGCCTCCTGCAACTCCCTGGGAGTGTGGTGGGGGGCAGAGGAAGCCTGGGGTTCTTAGGGGGCTGCCCAGGCCCTCAGAGGCCCCTGCAGCCTTGGGTCATCAGGACAGGGACCTTCCCATCATGGCCTTAGTCCATTATGGTGTACAGGAAGACACTCCTCAGTGAGGTGGGCTACAGAGTAACAGGGTGGTGAGGACAACTGGATTACAGAAAGGAACAAGGGCTCCTTAGAGAAGGGACTGACTCTGCAGCCGGGACAGGGTAGACCAGTGGAGCCTGGAGCATCATCTTGTAGTACCAGAAAGTAGGGAAGTGCTTGAACAAGAGCATACACACACAGTGATAGGTACATGTAGGTACCTAGGTACAGTCCCTAGACCTGTGTGTGAGGGCACAAGCTCAGCTTGGGCCACCACCCCTTTCCTGGAAGATGCTGGAGCCTCCCTGCTTCCCAGTTTTTCCACAGATGTGGGATCCTTGGGCCCAGAGGTTCATGTATCTGGGACATGTACCTAGGACATGTACCCGGGACGTGTACATGTACCTGGGACATGAGCCAACTAAAGATCAAAGGTGGGACAATTTGAGCAACACACTAATGATACTATTGGACCATGACCCAGAGTGTAACTAAATGTGATGGTTGGTGAATGGGGAGAAGACAAACCTTCCTCACAGAGCACTCCAAATACAGTACATGGCAATGTCCCTTCCTGGGAAGTGGTGCTGCGTCCTCCCTTTCTCTGGAGTGTGGGCTGGACTAGGTGACCAGCTTCCAGATTCAGAGAATAGATTTGAAAAGTAGAACTTGGTAGAGGAAACACCTGGCAGACACACCTTTACCAGGTGATCCAGGTCAGTATCACCTATGATGAGTCATGTGGACTCGGCATCTCTGATCTGATGTGATAAGAGGGTCACCTCACTTCTGTCGAATTTTTCCCCCAACCATAACCCATCTAACCATGATAAAACACCAGAAAGACCCAATTCGAGGGACATTCTATTAAATACATAATCAAAACTTGTCAAAACTGTCAAAGTCATTAAAAACCAGGAAAGCTGGAGAGACTGCCCTAGACCCTAGGGGACAAAGGTGGTAACTAAGTGTGGTGTGGTCCTGGGAGGGATCCTGGACAGAGAGGGGCACTTGTGAAAAAGCTGAATCGCATCCATGGTTTGGTGACCAGAGTGTCCTGATGTGGGTGCGTGGGCTGTGATGAACCTGCTGCAGTGATGAGCAGATGCTTCCAGGGGAAGCTCAAAGGGCCCGAGGTCCACAGGGACTCTGCACTGTGTCTGCAACTGCTGTAAACCTGAAATTCTCCCCATACCCAAAGTGTATTTAACAACCATCCTGGCCTATGAAAAGTTTTTGCCCAGAGCATTTATGTGTGTAAGGGCTGGGCTGTAGGCACTGGAGGCTAGCCTCTTTGGATCCCTGGGCAGCCCCTAGCAAGGTTTCCAAGACACTCGGCCTCCCTCACCCCAAGGAGGCGCATTCCTAGGGAACAGGTCCCAGCCTCATTCTATGTCCCAGGCTGCAGCAACTGGACGAGGAGAACAGTGAGCTGAGATCCTGCACACCCTGTCTAAAGGCCAACATCGAACGCCTGGAGGAGGTAAGCTGCCAGCGAAGAATGCTGAGCCAAGGCCCATCAGGCTGGCCTGTGTGCTTTTCCATACCCTCTGGGTCTGCTGCCTGTTGGGGGATCGGGATACGCTGAGATAGGTTCCCCAAAGCAGGGCAATCATGTGACCAGCTAATGAGTCTGCAGGAGTATGGCCAGCCAAGGGGTGCACCACAGGCCAGGGGATTGTGCTGCTCCAAAGAGCAGGCTGATGGTGCCGGGCCCTACCAGGCCTGTGTGTGAGGGGACAAGCTCAGCTTGGGCCACCCCTTTGCTGGAAGATGCTGGAGCCTTCCTGCTTCCCAGCTTTTCCACAGACGTGGGATCTTTGGGCCCAGAGGTTCATGCTTTGACTGACCTGTGGTCTGAACCTAGGGCTGATGTCCTTGAGGGGCTGACTTCAGCTGGACCCCTCATGCCCCATTCTGCAGATGTTCACTGAGAGGCTTCTCCTTCCCTGTCCTCCGCTTCTTGCAAAGTGTCTCCTGGGAAGCTCTGAACCCTGAGCAAGTTGGAGACCACCTGGGTTCTGGCTACTGTGAGCAGCTCCTGCTGAGTGGCCATGGGTCAGGTCCTGCTCTTGCCTTCCCCTAGAAACAGTACTGTTGGGAGGAGGTGCCTTCCATTGGGAGCGCCCCAGGCTCACCTTCCATGTGCATTGCACTTGCAGTCAGCACAGGCCCTGAGAGAGCATGCCTATGTACGTGCACCTCAGCTTTCACAGGAAAGAAAGCTCAGATGCAGCCCCGTGGACGTCAGCAAGCTGATACTCTCAAGACATGCACCTGAGTCAGTGTGTGGGATGGCAGGTGAGGCATGTCCATGGCAAGTGTTTCACCTTGCAGGAGAAGCAGAAGCTGCTGGATGAGATTGAAGAGTTGTCGCTGCGGCTCAGTGATGAGCAGGAAAACAGGAGGAAGCTAGGTGACAGGCTGAGTCACGAAAGGCACCAATTTCAGAAGGACAAGGAGGCAACACAGGAGGTGAGCACAAGCCCAGAGGCCCTGGCTGTCACTCAGTGAACTCCCAGATACATAGGGCCTATCTGGAATGAGCTGGGGACCCACTGCTTTTAACTGTCAGGCTGGACAGAGGGGCTTGGTGCATGGTGGCATTTGGGAAGTATGGCGTTACCATCCTCCTCAAAAATGGTGTTCAGACAAATGCAGAGGTTCTGAAGCCAGGGACAGGGCTGATACTGCTCACCCTGCTGTCCCACACAGCTAATTGAGGACCTGCGCAAGCAGCTAGAGCATCTACAGCTCTTCAAGCTGGAGGCAGAGCAGAGGAGGGGCCGGAGCAGCAGCGTAGGCCTGCAGGAGTACAATAGCCGCACCCGGGAGAGTGAGCTGGAGCAGGAAGTCCGCAGGCTGAAGCAGGTACAGCTGGGCAGATACTCTTTTACCTGGAAAAAGCCTCATGACAGCCAGCATGGGGAGAGGGGAGCGTGGGGAGTCACTGCCCAGGAATCATGCTATTGTGCCGCCCACCCCAGGACAACCGGAACCTGAAGGAGCAGAATGATGAGCTCAATGGACAGATCATAAACCTGAGCATCCAGGGTGCCAAGAACCTCTTCTCCACATCCTTCTCCGAGTCTCTGGCCGCAGAGATCAGCTCAGTTTCCCGTGATGAGGTAACATACCCACTCCCCCACACCTGGGACTCCACAGCATCCCCAGTCAGTGTGCCCAGTGCCAACCCCTTGCTTTTCCCACAGCTCATGGAAGCGATTCAGAAGCAGGAAGAGATCAACTTCCGCCTGCAAGACTACATCGACAGGATCATTGTGGCCATCATGGAGACCAACCCATCCATCCTGGAGGTCAAGTAGAGGCAGACAAGCCCAGCCCAGGGTGATTCTGGACTCCACCAACACCCCAGAGATGGCCATGGCACACATGGGCCAAGAATAGCAGGTCCCATACCCACTGAGGCCAGAGCACACAGCTGAGCTGGAGCACAGAAAGACAGGGTGGTGGAAGAGGGAGAAGGAAAAGGAAGCCCAGTGCTCTGAGCCCACAGCAGGTGCAAGTGGGATTGGGCCTGCTCTCAGCTCTGGCCGCCTACTGTTTGCAGATGTGGGGACAGTGTCTCAGGCTGGCATGAGCCCCTCCATGAGCTCCCTCCCACGTAGTAGACCCTCCTGCTCTCCTGCCCTGTCAGAGAGAAAGGAAGGAAATGGGTTGCCATCTGGGGTGCAGCCATCTATGTCCTCACAGGTACCCCGACATGGTGCCACCCATCTCAGCCACTCCTGGACAATCTAGAGACCCCAGGACCTTTGCACCAGATGTGGTGGTAGGTGAAAGACAGGCAGTGAAGTTGATACAAGTCAGGGTCTGACCAGCAGGGCCCCCCTTCCCACAAGCTTTTCTGGGGCTGTCTCCCTGAGCTGCTCAGGCCACCACCCAGCCAGAAGAAGCATCTCAGTCCAGCTTCAGGCCCAGGGGTCTCCAGTTGCATCCTTGCTACAATAACCTTTGGGGGCTCTCATCCTCCTGTGGGGGCTGGGGCAGGAGCCTCTGCTCTGAAATCAGTACTTGAGAATCTAATGTTGTAGAAAGTACTATCTGGATGAGGGGGGCATTGTCAGCCTTCTCTGACTCCTGGGGTGCAGGCAGGGCCATGGTGAGGTGTGGCCTCCCCATGGGTAAGGCTTTCCTGGCCTCCTGAATTACCCCTCCCTGTGCAGATCTTGGCAGCCCCCGGTAAAGTCCCACTTTCCCAGGCCAGAGTCCAAATGTTTCCTCTGGGAATCTAAATCATTAGCAGTCATCATTCTTCCCGAGGTGCATTCTGCAGGACGCTGGGCAGGGCAGGCTCTCCAAAGAGAGAGATCAGGAGCAGATAACGAGACTTCCCCAGCGACTTGGAGGTTCCTTTTAGGAAACCTTTACCCAGCTGTACGCTGACACTGCCTGGCACCTGTGCTACCAGGAGCAGCAGTGTCACCCCCACAGGGATGCTGGGCCTGCTGCCCACCTGAGCCCGAGCACTGGCCACAGGCCTCCAGGTGCTCCCAGGTGGGCCAAGACCCCACACACAAACTGGCCACTGCTGCGTGCAAGTGCGTATGTGAGGTGTATGCACATGTGTGTGTGTAAGCATGTGTGTTGCCCTTCATCCTTCATCCTCCACATGGCCCACCTTCTACTCTAAGACTTAAGATGTTGCCTCGTATTGTATATTTTGGGGAAAGCCTTGGGTGTAAATCAGTGTAAACTTGGAAGAGAGATTTTTCTATCATGTAGAGTAGGTATTTTTTATAGATTGAAGGTTGATCAATTTTTTTAATACTTCCAAGAGAGACTATCTGTGTATACACATGAAATATATATATATGTATGTATGTATGTATGTATGATAATAAATATGGGAACTCTGCTTTCTGTGCCCAGCCTCACCCTACTGACACAGTCTGGGGTCTGTTTCTGTCCATCATTCAGCAGCACTAACTGTAAATACAAATTTCCAGGAGATATCTCACACAAACAGCCGGGCACTGGCTTGCACACTGACCCTGCTCTCATCCTCTCAAGGAGGACTCTCCAGGCACTGACAGGAGCCTGGATGTGGAAGGACAGGGCCAGAACAATGTCATCACAGATGAAAGCTGTCGCTGCACACACACAGCTCAGCTTCTTCCTCTGTGGGGGTGAGGGGTGGGGTAGGGGTACCGTGGGCCTGGCTAGGCACCCCCGATGGTGTTTGGGGTATTGGGAGCCATGCATCATCTGAGTTCAGATGGCAGGAGACCACCTAGTCAAGCCATCTCAGAGGCCCTGGGATGGCACCCGCAGGCTGGGCCCCAGAAGAGCCTGTCCAGAGGCACTCCTCGGGCAGGGCCACGTGATGGACCCCAGGAGCCGTGAGATCATGGCAGGACCTGGTCCCTGACTGCAGCCCGGCTGCCAACATGGCATTAAGGGCCAGCTGGGCCAAGGAGGGGGCAGCACTGCAAGTCTCGGGTTCATGAACAAGCAGCTCTTGTGGAACATGTACTCAGGGATGAAGAGATGGGCCCCAGAAGAGGCCACATACTGAGTACCAACCCTAAGGCACAGACAAGGCCAAGACCCTGACAGAATTGCGCTCAGCGGGAGGGACGAAAGGTGGGGAGGCAGGCTGGGAGGAGAGCTCAGCTGCCACCACAGTCACAGACACCAGCAAGATTACTAAGGGTAAGTGACCAAATTTGACTTGAAAGCAGGGGTTGTTAGCTAAAAGTCCCCAAAAGGACTCCCCAGCCCAGGTGTCCACAGGAGTGGCAAACTGCATCTACTGCTCCCACCCCTCACACTGAGGATCTGCAGGCCAGATTCAGGTGGAGAAACTTCAGGCACAGGGAGGCCAAAGACCGTACCCCCAACCACCCAGCTAGTAAAGAAGGGAGTTGCGCTCAGGTTTGCTGGCCCCGACTGCTGTCCATGGGGCTGATAACCTGAGGATGGTGATAGTGGGCACAGCCTGGCCTGCAGCAAGCAGGGCCCCTAGGCCTCATCAGCTGGGGGTGTAGCAGAAGGACTCCAGGGGTCCCCAGGGTGAGGCCCTGGGGCCTTGGACCTTGTGTGCAGGGACACTAAATAAGAAACCTGGAGGGTGAGATTCTGCCTGGCGCTCACCTCCCACCAGTTCCGGGGGGAGAGGGGCAAGAGAATGTGGAACACTGCACATCTAGCCTGCCAGGTCCCCACCTGTCTTCCTGGTGCTTAGAAGGTGTAGCTCCCCAGACTGCCCTCAGAGGGAGATGGTCAGCACCCTCTGGTTACCATCCCACCTGTGGGGCCCGTTGGTCACCGGAAGGGCAGCCCTGTGCTGCAGCCTGGGGTGTGGGACTCTGCATAGAGGGCCCACTTAGCACTGGGGGGGCGCCAAAGCACTGTCACAGTTCAGAATGTCAGTGTGGGTCCTAGAGGGCCCTGTCCCCAGCTTGGCTGCACTGAAGGGTCTCTGCTGACCCAGGAAGAAGCCAGCACCTCTGCTTTGACGCCAGAAGACACCTGCCCTCCCACCTACCCTTGTCCATCTGGCACCTGCAGGGCCCACTTCTGCCTAGGAGGAGAAGCTGGAAGTGGGAAGGGGAGGAAGGGAACTGCTCCTTTCTCCTTGTTACTCCACTGACGCCTGCCCATCCAGTTCATTTCCACTCTTTAAAACACATGGGGGCCCACCAGCAGCGGTGCAGAAATTCCTGCCCTGGCCCTCCAGTGGTCTCAGCCCCAAGTGGAAACATTTGGGAGAGGGTGGAGCAGGAGAACAAAGGAGGAAAATCTGCTGTAAGTGGAAACAGGGCAGTGTTTGGCTGCTGCCCAGGCAGGGCTTCTTGGAGAGTTTCTTCCAGAAAGTGGCTGAGGGCAGGGTCAGGAGGGGGGCCTCCCAGGCCAGGCCTCAGAGATTGTGTTGGAGGGGCCCATGGTGGGACTTGTGAGGCCAGTGTCAAGACCTGTCCCCTCCAGGCCTGAGTGCATCCCTCCCACGTGGGGACCCTTGACCCCCAACCCTGAAGTACCTGGCCACAACACTTCCTCTTGGGACAGTGCACACCTCAACAGTCTTGAAGATGACCCCTGAGACCCTCTTCTGGTGGTTGGGCTTTCTCCCCAACAGACCTTGGTCCCTTACTGGAGAGGACTGGGATGCACCTGCTGACTCCTCGCCCCCGTGTAGGCCCTGGCTCCTCAAAAACCTGCAGTGAGCTGTCAGGAACCTGGGCCATCAGATCAACAGGCTCCACATCAGCTGTTTCTCTTCTTGAGAGGTTACAGGGCTGTGGACACCAGTCTTGATTCAACCCACTCCAAACAGTGTCCAGGGAAAGGGGCTGGGGAGGAAAGCCGTGGGAGTCAGCCTTTGACTTAGTCCTCTCACGCGATTCCACAGCCACACATTGTCAAAGCCTCCTTGTCAGTTTCATGCAGGAAAGGAAGCTGGGGGTGGGTTGAGTCACTGTACAGCCCAGTGCCTTGCAGGCAGCTTGTCACCTCAGCATTCAGGAAGCAACTCTGTCTTGGTTGCAGCTAAAGCCCAGGCCCCAACATTTCAATACTGCAGCATCTTGAGAGTAAAACAGAGGTTTGCCTTAGGCTTGAATGGCCTCCTAGGAGCACAGAACCCTGTCCGTGGAGGTACTACTGAGGTCAGTTTAGCTTTTATGAGTACTGGAGCAAACATCACCCAACCTCAAATTTATCAAACTTCACTCCATCTCGAGGCAGAATTGGACCACAAACAAATACTCCCTGAATCTTAGCTGATGAGCCTTGCTTCTGTAACTCCTGCATGGTCTGTGCCTTCTCAGGCTCCTCACTAGTCCCTGAGTGCCACAGTCCTTGGGGCTCTGCCCTCAGCATTCACTTCCCACTGCAGCCTTTCTGTGCCTTGGTTGCATCTAACAAACTCAACACCACAGCTCTGCACCTCCTGCTACCTCCAAGGCATCTAGGCAACAGATGGCAGAGGGGCTCCAGTTTTGTGACTGTTAGGTGTGTGTGACCTCAAGGGTGCAGAAAGGGAACTTAAAGGGAAACTGAACCTGAGGAGCCTCTCGTGCAGGGCGGGGCGGGTTCTGTTCGGCGGTCTCTATGGAGTAACACAGGAATCACACCGCTTCCCAGGATTCAGGACTTCCTTCCTACCAGGCACTGGGCTACACGTTCTGTGGTGGTATTTCATTTCGTCCTCCCAATGGTCTAATTAGATCCCAGTTTCCCTCTTATCGAGGAGGAAACTGAGACTCAGAAGTAATTTGACCTCTAAGTGATTCCACAACCACACTAGTCACACTCGAAGCGCCAAGGCCGTGTCTTAGAATCAGGCTGGTCCCACCAAAACTAGAGCTTTTGAATGTGAAGTCCTTAAGGGGAACCGAGAAGTTGCACAGATGATTGAGGGGTTGGAAGAGAAACTGAAGAGGTCCTGAAGGAAGCTAAGGAGGTCTAGGAGCCCCGTGGACACGTAAGAGTCAAAGTGGAGCTGAACAACAAGGGGTGAAGTGACGGCAGACTAGCGCAACTGTCCGCAAGGCGCAGCCGGAAGCGCCTTGACTGGGCCGGACACTGAGGCCTTTTCCTCCTGCGCAGGGCATCCTGGGAGGTGTAGTCGCAGTCCTCTACACGGCGCACTCCCTCCCCACTTACCAAATCCAGCACGCAACACTCCCTGGGGCCCGAGGCTCGGCCATCTCTAATGGCGCTGATGGAGGGGAAGGTCCAAGAAGTCTGTGGCCGCTGGAAGGCGCCAGGCTGGGCTGCTGTTGGCCGCCAACCCGTGGACTACAACTCCCGGGTTCCCTCGCGCGCAGGGCACCGCCCCGAGCTTTCGGCCTGGCGGCGCCGCACAGCCCTGTGGGAACAGTAGTCCTCGCGCGCGATTCACAGCGCCTCGTGCGCCCTGGGCGCACCGTAGCCGCGGGGCCCTGGCTGGGCGCTACGCTACGGAGGCGGCGTAGGTTGGGCGCCCGACGCGGACCGGTCCAGCCGGGTCTGGGCGTTCGGCAGCTCCTGCACTCAGTGCCGGAGGCCGGCAGGGCAGTGCGGTTAGTGGCAGAAGTTGTAGGTCGGCTGGCAGGGGTGAGCGGGCCGGGGGCCGCGCCGCCCAGGCCGCACGGACAGAGGAGGCGCCGCGGGGTTGCGGAGGTGAGTCCAGCCAGCCGGGGTGGGGGCGCGGCCTGGACCCTCACCGGAGCCCGGGCCTGGCAGGCAGCGCCCCTCAGCGCCAGGGCTGCCAGCCTTGGATCCAGGGTCTGCTTCTTGCCTCGCTGGCGCCTCCTGGGCATTGCCCGAGCCCTCACTGGGTTGGGTGCGCTGCTTGGAGAGGGGAGCCGGTGGGGACGGGGTCATCTGAATCACTGACAGACCATCCCTGGGGTGCTGCGGACACTGGCGGTGGCCTCAGCCTCTGCCTGCCCTTGAGTGTCCTTATCTCCCAGGCTGCGTCCTGGTTCGGCTGCATTAGGGGACGCGTCCCGTGGTGCTCGCAGCCCTCCCCACTAAGGTACTTGAGGGCGATTCCATGGAATGGGTATGTGCGGGTACGCCCTGTGTGCCCACTGGCCACCCTAACACTTCCTCTTCCCTGTTCCTCCCTGGGCTGGCGCTAGAGCAACACAGGGAAGTTACAGGGGATTTATTCCTGAGAATATTTGCGGGAGTAACCCGGTTTTTCCTGTTGGCCACAAAGGAGTCCTTCTGGTCCGGAGGAGTGAAGCTTTGTTGTGTGGTCACATAGCCCTAACTGGGTGCCTCTTGGAGACCCCTGAATGCACAGGACTTTGTAACTAGACTGAAGGCAACAGGATCTCTGTGAGACCAGGTAGGGAGTTTGGGGTCCTGCAACCTAGAGCCCTGGCATCCTGTGAGGAAAACGTACTCAGACTGGTGCTGAGTTGGGTTTGAGCTCCTCCCAAGAGCCCCT